ATTCGCGCAGAGAAAGTCGACGAGCACGGCTTCCTGTTTGCTATCAAGGGTGGCGCTGACCCTCAACGTTCGGCCGTTGGAGCAGTTGGGGTCGACCGGGACGAGCTTGACGGTCTCTGTGGGCTCGAAAGTCCCGACGCGACGCTTGGAGTCGGGTACTTCGCTACCGAGTTGGTCGAGGTTGACGATGAGGGCCTCGACCTCCATGATAGCCTCGGCGTACTCGATGCATTCGACGTCGCAGTCGTAGGCATGCTCGTACATGGACTCGACGGTGATGATGCCATTGGGGCCTGGCATTTTGAGCTTGAGGTAGGTGTAGTTCGGGACCGCCATGAACTTGGCGTAGCATGGGCGCCCCAGGATGGCGTGGTAGGTCCCCTTGAACCCAACCACTTCGAAGGTGAGGATCTCCTTGCAGTAGTTGGAGGGAGTGCCGAAGCAGACCGGCAAGTCAATGCGTCCGAGGGGTCGCGTGCGCTTCCCTAGCATGACGCCATGGAAGGGCGCAGCACCACCTCGGAGCCATGACTGGTCGAGCTCTAGGAGCTCCATGGTGTTGGCGTAGAGGATGTTGAGGCCGCTGCCTCCGTCCATCAGCACTTTGGTAAGCCGGGTGTTGCCGATGATCGGGTCGACGACGAGCGGATATTGCCCGAGGTTTGGGACATAGTTGGGGTGGTCTTCCCGATCGAAGGTGATCACCTCTCGAGACCAGTTGAGGTACTGAGGAGTGGCTACCTCGACCGAGAAGACCTCCCGGCGTTCTCTCTTTTGCTGACGTGCCGTGAGGCACGCTGAAGGCCCGCCAAGATCATGAAGGCATTGTGCACTTTGGGGAACCCATTGTCCTTGTCGTTGTCTCCATTGCCGGACGCCCTTCTTCCTGGCATCGTCGTTGAGGAGCCCGAGCTTGGCGTAGTAACGTCGGAGCATGGTGCATTCTTTGAGGGTATGCTTCACCGAGCCCTGGTGGTAAGGACAGGGCTTCTTAAGCATATTGTCGAATACTCCGGGGCCCCTACCGGTGCCTCAGGGATTCTTGCGATCCACGACTATGACGAAATTGGCCTCGAGGGCCTCTTGCTTCCCTGGGCGTCCCTTTTTCTTTTTCTTGGGGAAACGGGAGGCCGAGGCCCCGGGGGCCTCGTCCCTCTGCTTCCCCTTTGTGTCGCCTTTGGGGAAGATGGCCCCGATGGTCTCTTCACCCGAGGCGAAGTTGGTGGCGATGTCGAGGAGCACGGCCGCTGAGGTTGGTACGTTCTGGCCTAACTCTCGGACCAGGTCTCGGCAGGAGGTGCCGGAGAGGAAAGCTTGGACAACTTTCGAGTCGCCGATCGCTGGGCAACTCAGTACACTACTTGGAGAATCGCCGGATGAAGTCTCGGAGAGACTCGTTCGGCTTTTGGCGACAACTCTTGAGGTCCCAGGAGTTTTCGGGGCGCACGTATGTGCCCTAGAAATTTCCGACGAAGATCTTTACCAAGTCGCGCCAGTTGTGGATCTGCAAGGGAGGGAGGTGTTCGATCCAGGCTTGCGCCGAGTCTGTCAGGAACAAAGGGAGGTTGCGGATGATGAGCAGGTCATCGTTCGCGTTGCCTAACTGACAAGCCAGGCAGTAATCGGTCAGCCACAACTCGGGGGTCATCTTGCGCCTCGCGTCGGTCGCTGAGATGGTCATGCACTGAGGGGGCCCTAAGGCGGTCATGCACTGAGGGCCATTTCGAGGTGTCCTCACGCCGTCGAGACGCGGAGCTTTCGGCCTGCTGTACCGCGGGTCTCGAGAAGGTCTCGGAGCTCGCCGTGGACCCATCGCCCCTCTGTGGTAGAGGGCTCGGGCATCGCTCGGACTAGCATCGCTGCTGCCACAATGTTCTGGCTAGCGCGATTGAAGATTGGGGGTTGCTCACTCCCTTCGTCGTTGTTGATGCGGCGGTGGACATTGTGGGCCCTCCGCCGGGCCCTTCCGCCATCACCGTGACCTCGCTGCTCCTGCTCGAGAGTGTCTCGGAGCTGCTGCAGCAGGAGTCGGTCTTGGTCGACCTTTGCCTAGAGCTCACGGAGCTACTCCAGGTCAAGGCGCCGGAGTTCCTCGGGGGCGGCGTTCACGTTCCATGCCGCCCGAAGCTCGACGAGCGGGGGTGTGGCGTCGCCCGCCCCTTGGCGGAGCGGGGAGCGGTTGCCTGCCCCTTCATTCTCATTACTTGCCCCTGGCATTCCGAGCCCGATGTGGAAGCACTCTCGAGTGGGATCGTAAGTGCCTTCGTCATCGGAGTCGGAGAAGCCAAAGCAGTAGTCGCTTGCGGCCAAAAAGCGGCACATAGCCTCAGGGCCGTGAAGCCCGAGAAGTCTGCTCCGGCCCATGCCTCGTCCTCCTCTGAGGAGTCGGTGTGGGTGTGAGCCGAGGTTGTGGCCGAAAAGTCAAGGGTGAAATGTTGGTGGCGCCCTGAGGGCTCCGTGTAAGCGGAGGCGTAGGCGGAAGCGTAGGCGGTGGCGGCATTTCTCAACCCAAAGGGGTATGGAGACGGTGCCATCGCCGGGCCCTGCTCCGCCGGAGTTGGCTCCTCAGGCGATGGCGGTGCGTGACTTGACGACGGGGCATCGCTGCACGTCACCGGTGTCTTTCCCTTGCCCAAGCTTAGGCCAGACAGGTCCCCAACCAGGGACCTCGTACCAATAGTCGGGCCTGGGATACCGGTGAAGTGTGGCGCGTCGCCCTGAGGTCATGCGGTGTCGGGGTGGTCATGCTCATGCCGTGCCTGGCGAGCGCGACGAGAGCGGCGGCCCGGGCACCTCCTGCGCCGAGGCTGCCGATGCGTGACGTCATCATCGGCTGGTGGGGCTCTGGGTGCGAGGAGTACCATATCGTATCCACATCCTAGAGACATGAACTCTAGGCTCCCAAACCAGACCACCGTGCCGAGATGTAGTGTGCGTGTGGGATCTGCCATCCGGAACTTGTTGGGACAATTAAGCTAACACGCAGCGGCCCCTACCTGGCGCGCCAACTGTCGGTGCTTCGGACCGGGGGGTCCTCAACCAACCAGTGAATTTGAACTACGTGCCCTAATCCCGGATGATGATGCAAAGAGACATAAGGTTTATACTGGTTCAGGCAATCGGTGCCCTACGTCCAGTCTGAGAGATCGATCTTGTATTCCTTACACCGAGGTGCTTGTAGTAGGGGGTTACAAGCTAGGTGAGAGAGGGGGCTAGTCCCAGGTCTCGGCGTGGTGCGGTGCGGGCTGCTTGAGGCATTGTTCTCAGGCAGCGGGGGGGGGTGTTGTAGAGTGTCGCTTGCGCGTGTGTGAGAGCGTGGTTCTTTTGTATATTTTTCTCCCCTCCCCTAGAGCTATCCCTAGCTGCTTCCTTTTATAGCCGCAAGGAGAGAGCCAGGAGTACATGAGTGAGCTACACGTGGAGCCTACTGTAGTTCAGTCCTGTAGCAGCATGGTGTTGGGAATGGCGATCGGTGCTTGACTGGCGCGTCGTGCTGGCCAGGGCCGAGGTTGCTTGAGGTCGTGGGAGTCCTTGTTGACGTCTAGTCAGTATGGCCTCCACTATAGGAGACATATCGTGCCTTGTGAATTCTTGACTTGGCGGAGTGCCGAGGCCTGGCGGGTGCCGTAGCTAATTGTGCCGAGGCTTACTTTGCCGAGGCCTCGGAGGTGACCCGTGTATAATGCGGGGGTCTTGGTGGTCAGCGTCGTACCCGGTTTAGGTGGAAAAGTGCGGAGCATGTGTCCACAGGGCACGGTAGCCCCTGCACCGTCAGTAGGGGATGGTAAAAATAAGATTTGACCGTTGTCCCATCGCCCCTGTTGTTGTACCCTGCCAGTCGTGGCTGACGTGGTAGGTGTGACCAGACGCACTTAAACGGATGGGACGGCTCGCTAGAGGGACGGTTGAGGCGGAGGCGATGAGGATGCGGGACGAGCCCGGCCTCGGCCAAGGCGAAGAAGGGATAGTACGTCCGAGGCCCTACCGGGGGGTCTCGGACGAGGCGGAGGCGATCAGTTGGTCTTTCATGCTGATTCCGAGACTACAGGGACCCGGACTTGACCCTCCACGCCGCTTTGTCCTTGGCGCAGGAGTTAGGTAACACATGGCGAGACGGGTGCCGCGAGAAAGCACAAAGATGAGCACAATGGCGTAGTAACCCTGCTGCGCCCGGTCCCCTCTCCGTCGGTCACTCGCTCAGATTTGCGCCAACGTCAAGGTGGCGTTCGCTGGGAGTAGTTTAGGCGTATTAACTGGACGTGACGTTTTGTCAGGGAAGTCGGTCGGGACGGAGGTGACGAGGTTGTTGCCGAGCCCAGCCTCGGGCGAATCGGAGAATTGGTATCCCGTCCGAGGCCTTGCGGGGCGGGGCCTCGGCGAGAGGGCCTCGGCGGGGCGGAGAGTTTTGGCCTTTCGTCTGAGGCCTCGGCGCAAGTCTCGGACGAATCGGAGAATCTGCCGAGACCTCGTGGTTATTTTTTGGCTTTGATTTTTACAAGGCTTAAGCAATATTTTCGGTTCTTGCTTATGGTACTTCTTCTTGTGATATCCGACACGTCCATTCTTTACGCCTCATTTAATTTTGACCGTTCATCCATTTTTCTATCCCACCCCCTGTATCCCTTTATGAAACGCACACAGCAAGGAGAAATCTTTCACCCAAGTGCATCATAGAAAAAACCGCAAGCGGCTGTGACTGTGATACTGGATACGCATACCGCACCGTGCGGTCTCAAACACGCCCAGTGTATCAGGTTACAATCCGGAGGTTTTACAAAAGTAAGCCCAGCACTTTCACAAAAAAGAAGTAAGCCCAAAGAAAACAGGCCCTTACTCAGCCCATCTCCGCCGCCTGGCCATGCTGCTCACTCACTCACTGACAGCTTGCCACCGGCTCTGGTCTGCAACAGCTCGCCACGGCCGCGAGCGGCGAGAGCGACAGTGCGAACAGTGCACACTCCCACTCCCACGCGCCGCGGCCGGTGGCGGCGGCGGCGGCCATGGCGGAGCTGCGGCACTCGACGGCGGCGCGCGCGTCCAACTCCCCCGCCAAGCGCGACTCCGACGCCTCCGCCGCGTCGTCCCCTTTCCTCGCCTCCCCCTCCACCCGCGGCAGTCGGGGCGGTGGCGGCGGCGACGACGACGGCAAGGACGCCCACCGCTCGTCCCCTCTCCTCCCGCACCACCACCACAAGCGCGTCCACCTGCTGACGTCCCCGTTCCGCTCCCTCCTCGCACTCGAGGACCCCAGGTCCGCCGCCGCCTCGTCCTCCTACCGGATCCTGCTTGCCCTCCTCGCGCTCCTTCTCGCCGCCGGGATCTTCTGCGCGCCCTTGCTCTGGTCCCGCCTCGTGAGCTCCTGGCCCCTCCCGTGTCTTCCCAATGCCATTCATCAATTGGGACTCGTCAGGATTCCGACTTGCCACTGACATTTTGTTGATGTTGTTGTTGTTGCCCGTCTGATCCTAGAACACGCCGTACCTGTGCCACAAGGAGGGGATCACGCTCCACTGCCCTGAGGTGAAGTGTGCTTCATTGCTCCAAGGGTTTTGGGACTCGTTCTCGCTTCATGAACATTTGGTCTGAAGAATTTCTGCTTTGGGTGCAGACGAAGGAACCCCCATCTCTATGGGAGAATCCACGTGCTGCCACTACATCTTGGAAGCCCTGTGCAGAGCGACGCAGCAATGAGCCCTCAGGCGAGTATACCTTTCTTGCTTCTTAAAGATAGCAATGTAGCATATATTGCATCCCTACTTTATACATCAACCCGATCACTTTAAGGTCAGTAACTTACATTGTGCAAATTTCAATCTCCCAGAGCTTAGTGTTTATTGATCTGGTGCAAAAACTGAATTTCTATGTCTCAGGAACTCGCCCAATTGTTGTGTAGTTTCATGTTAAATGATAGATTTATGAGACAACACATCTAACATCTGTTTCCTTTCATGACTGGGTCCTGCTAAGTGATGATATCATAAATTTCTATATCATGCAGATGTTCCATCAGTGAATGAAACCTCTGGGTATATTTTTATCCATGCCGAGGGAGGACTAAACCAGCAACGCATAGCTGTATGTATGCACTTCTGTCCCTCAGCCTTGCTCACCTAGTTGTGTGTGAGTGCTAATTGCAATATACAAGCCTAGGTTTGCTTCTTTTCCTGTTAGCGTGGTTGCTGCTCATTGCTCAAGCATAACTATAATAACCCTTCAATATAGGCTTGCTATTTCTTTTGGTAATGTGTGTTTTCTGTGACCTGCTAAAGCTGGTTTCAGATGAAATCTCTGTTTTTAAATACAGAGTCTGGTTCTCCCTTAGCAGACCTTGCCAGTTTCTTGAGCTTGTCCATTAGCTTTCTAAATGGAATAGGGTTTTAGTCACTTCTCTCAAAAGGAAACAATTCAAATTTCAGTTATCTGTTGTTTTTGCAGATATGTAATGCTGTTGCAATTGCTAAAATAATGAGTGCAACACTTATTTTGCCTGTTCTGAAGCAGGACCAAATTTGGAAAGACCAGTCGTAAGTATTATTTCCTGTTACAGATTCTAATGTATACTTCTTGTCTATTTCCTCGCCAATATTTAATAGGTAATTGTATCATATAAAATCTTGTTAACTAAAACTTAAGCTTTCCATAAACTGAACATAACTTTTGACTAGAATGTTAAAAATGAACAGATCTGTCTTTCATCAAACCTGCAATCTTGTTTGGGTTGTCAAAGCTAAGACGACTATTTTAAGTCTTACTTTCATTGAAACATTTGCTCCAAATATGTGTAATGGAATTTTGTTAGCTTAAAAGCCTTGTAACACCGAATGATTTTGCATACTATCATCTGATGATTGTATCTGTCATTCTATTACCGACTGACACATCAAAGTATGCTTCTAGAACTGGAAGTCAGTGCTTCATTTCTCATGTTCTCCTTTGATTGTAGTATTGTCCTGTCATATAATGTCCTTCGATGAGGAAATCTGCTATGACGCTTCAGTGCTTTGGTAGTGAACTAGTGATTACTGGGACAACAAACAAAAAAATATGTGCTAGTTGATCGGACCAAATGCAGATCAATGTAATTTCACCTGAAAATCCATCACCGTTCTTGTATAGTTTAATTTGTAGTTGATAAACAAACAAGAAAGGTAATAAACTATGTTAATTTTGGAAGGAAATGCATCCAAACCACTTTACGGATTATACTGATGAGAATCAACAGATAATTGAATCATTTGGCATATTTGAACTAGTTCATGTAGCCACAAAACTTGCAAGGACAGGAATTCCCAATATCACGCATATTTGGTATGAATGTTTCTTGGTCTCATACTGACCATCGTGTACTGAATTAAATTCCCTTGAGCACTTTCACATGATATCACCTACTTAAATACACTATTTGCTTTCTGCCAGATTGTCTTGGTTCTTAGAACGTATATCTTCTCTGCAGGAAATTCGAGGACATCTTTGATGTTGATCATTTTATAAATTATTTGAAGGATGATGTACGGATTATCCGAGATATCCCTGACTGGTTCACAGAGAAGGATGAGCTGTTTACCAGTATAAAGTAGGTGTTTTTTACTCTGTTTTAATTACCTGAAGCTTTCAGAAATTGATATTACAACATGCAAGATACTGTTGGCAATGAAGGATGTATTAATATTTGGGTACTTTATATCATCAGGAAAGTTTATGATTTTGCTGGTATTATCTCAATAGGGTGGGAAATTTAAAGAACCTTCATGTCCCTATATATGACATATATCTCAACTGCCCATGCATTCTTAGCTGTTGTTTTGAACCAGTCTTTCCTTGTTTTCTTTTCACCAAATAAAATCTCGATGAGTTATGACACAACTGTTTGGTTATATCATGACATATATGCCAATAAATTTTTTTGGTTATATACAGCTTATCCAACATTCTACTATATTAAGACATTTTTTTGTGAACTTCTTGTGAAATCAAAGTGAAGACAAAAAGGTTCTGTTCAAATATCTTTTCTTCGCATTAGATGCTCTGCTGCCTTTATCTTATGTTCCCTGTTCTAAAAAATATGCTCTCTGCACTCATCCTTATATTACTGGAAATTTATTTATGTTTGACTGAATCAATATTTCCATGATATGTATTGAATTACGGGTCTGTAACAGGCGTACTGTGAAGAACATCCCAAAGTATGCTTCAGCACAGTTTTATATTGATAATGTACTTCCAAGGATCAAAGAGAAAAAGATAATGTCTATCAAGCCATTTGTCGACAGGTTGGGGTAAGTAAACTTTTGAGTGCAACATTTTGGTGTTTTTCCTGTTCATTTTAATTTTGTGATTCAGAACATCTGGTCGGCTAAATGCTGTGGTAAAGGGAGCATTATTCTTTTCTTTTGTTCTTTGTTCTGTGCAATGGCCATTCTTTTTGCATTGATATGCTCTCAATGGAACAATCTGAAGCTAATGTGAAACTTCAATGTTCAGGTATGATAATGTACCAATGGAGATTAACCGGCTAAGATGCAGAGTTAACTATCATGCATTAAAGTTCCTACCTGATATTGAGGAAATGGCCGATAAGCTTGCAGCAAGAATGAGGAACAGAACTGGCAACATAAATCCATACATGTACGTTATTAACTATATATCCTTTTTGTTGGATGATATTGTGTACAGCTTGTATCTATCCAAGACATTATCCGACGCAGTTGAAGTTGACACCCTCCAAGTTTTGTTTCACAATCAAATATTGACATTTTTTTTCTTAATTAAAGGGCTCTTCACCTGAGATTTGAGAAGGGAATGGTGGGGCTTTCTTTCTGTGATTTTGCCGGCACACGGGAGGAGAAGGCGATGATGGCCGCTTACAGGCAGAAAGAATGGCCAAGGCGCTACAAGGTGACGTGAATCTGGACTAGATTTATCTGTTACATTGGACAGAGCAAGAAGACCCGGGAGAAATGAAGCACGGACATTATCATGCCATCCTAACGAATTTCTCTTTGTATCTGCATGCAGAATGGATCCCATCTGTGGCCACTGGCGCTGCAGAAGAGAAAAGAAGGCCGTTGCCCTCTTGAGCCCGGTGAGATTGCTGTGATCCTGCGAGCACTGGGGTACACGAGCGGAACGCAGATATACGTCGCGTCAGGGCAAGTGTACGGCGGCAAGAACCGGATGGCTCCCCTCAGGAACATGTTCCCCAACTTGGTAGGCAGGCTCAAATCCACAGCTCAGTGGCAACACATTGTTTGCTTGAACTGAACCCATGAAACCAAATGGACACTCTATTGTAGCATCAAGCTGAAACCAGTAAGCCATTGCCGTGGCATTTGCAGGTGACGAAGGAGGAGCTGGCGAGCGCGGAGGAGCTGGCGCCGTTCCGGCGGCATGTGACGAGCCTGGCGGCGCTGGACTTCCTGGTGTGCCTGCGGTCGGACGTGTTCGTGATGACGCACGGCGGCAACTTCGCCAAGCTCATCATCGGCGCGCGCCGCTACGCGGGGCACCGCCTCAAGTCGGTGAAGCCCGACAAGGGCCTCATGTCCAAGTCCCTGGGCGACCCCGACATGGGCTGGGCCTCCTTCGTGGAGGACGTCGTCGTCATGCACCGCACGCGGACGGGCCTCCCCGAGCCCACCTTCCCCAGCTACGATCTCTGGGAGAACCCGCTCACGCCCTGCATGTGCAGGGCCTGAGAGGGCCCTCCCTGAGTCCTTGTCTTCTCGAGCCTTCTTCTTCCCCTAGGACTAGGAGTAGTCCGTAGTCACTCCCATCAGCATTTCAGCAAGTATACTTCCATTAGTTAAGCACCTACGATTTCTATGTATTTGCTGGCCTAATCTATAGTTTCACATAGATCAATTCTTGCTGAAAATGTCTTGGACAAACCAGTGAGTGAAGATAATATCAGTAACCTGCTTTTCCAAAACACCTTTTGGATTTACCAAACTGAGCCAAGAAATGACTCACCTGAGATTTGGCTGCCGACATGACGTGGGATACCGTGAACTCGCTAGTCGTGACGTTTCTTCCACGCGGCAGCTCCGCAGAGCCATGCCGCCTCTCTGCTCGCCACGTTCTCCTGCAACTCGACTCTCGAAGTACTCAAAAGCTATTAAGAACTGGATTGGTTCTCGAACAAGAACAGACGAGAGAAAGGAGAAGTAGCAGAGCAGCTAGAAAGGAGTGATCAGCAATGGCGCAGCTTAGAGCACCCGCCGACGAGCAGCGGCAGCAGGAGGCGCTGCACGGCGTCGCCGCCGGCGGGAACGAGAGCAGCAACAAGAAGCCCCGCGCGGGGCTCTGCGGCGTGCTCCGCGAGCGCAAGGTGGTGGAGCTGGCGCGCGCCAAGCGGCGGCTGGTGGAGGTCCCCTACACCGCGACGCTGGCACACACGGCGAACGCGCTCCTGGCCGCGCGCGTCTCGGGCGTGGCCGTGGCCGCGCCGCCGGGCCACTGGATCGGCGCCGGCGGATCCATGATCCTCGAGTCCGACCCGGCCACGGGCGCCGTCCGCAAGCACTACATCGGCATGGTGAACATGCTCGACATCCTCGCCCACATCGCCGAGGCCAGCGACGACGCCGAGGCCGACGGCGAGGGGGTCGACCTCGACCGCCGGATGGCCGTGCCGGTGTCCTCCGTCATCGGCCACTCCCTCGAGGGCCTCACTCTGTGGACGCTCCACCCGACCACCAGGTACGCCGGCCCATCTCCAGTTCACACACTTTTTTTCCCCTCGCATCGTATGCAACGAACGACTGGCAGAATTCTGCGCGGTGTGCGACATGTTTGTTGCATGCGCCAGCGTGCTGGACTGCATGGAGACGTTCAACAAGGGGGTGCACCGCGCGCTGGTGCCGCTGGAGAGCTCGGCGGACAACGTGGTGGCGGTGGACCTGGTGGAGTCGGCGCCGGAGTACCGGATGCTCACCCAGATGGACGTGGTGAGGTTCCTCAGGGCGCACGGCGCGGAGCGCGGGGGCGTGCTGTCGCGCACCGTTCGCGAGCTCGGCGCTGTGAACGACGCCGTGTTCGCGGTCGCCGGCGGCACCAAGGTAATCGACGCCATCAGGGCGATGCGGGCGGCGTCGCTAACCGCCGTGCCCGTCGTGGACGCCGCCGCCGTTGGTAGCGGTACAGAGACCCTTCAATACGTGAGTACCGCACGCACCTCCGATCCGAACATGCCGGCGACACCATTTCTTGCTGACTTGCTGAGTCTCCTGTCTGAAATGAAACTCCGTGTCGCCTGTTGTGCTGCTGCAGGGGAACGGGCAAAGGGCGATCGAGACGTTCTCGGCGACGGACCTGCGGGACTGCCCAGTGGCGCGGCTGCAGCCGTGGCTGGGGATCAGCGTGACGGAGTTCAAGAGGAAGGTGGCCGAGTACCGGGCGAGCAACAGGCCCGTGGTCCCCGGTGCCGACGCCACGGACACCGGCACCCCGGCCGACACCCCCGCGGGTGCCGCCGTCGCCACGGACGACGAGCAGAGCGAGCAGCAGCAGGAGTCGGCGCTGGTGACGTGCTCCCCGGACAGCACCCTCGGCGAGGCGATCGGGGCGGCGGCGTCGAGTCACGTGCACCGGCTGTGGGTGGTCGACGAGGAAGGGCTCCTCTGCGGCGTCGTGTCGCTCACCGACATCCTCCGGGCGGTGCGTGAGGCCGCGCTCGGCGAAGACAGGGAGCTGAACAGCATCGTGTCGTGAGTCGTGGCACTGTCCTAAGACGAAGCTGGTAGCTGTCTCATCTGTCCGTAGTACGTGTCCGTCCGCCTGTCGTGTCGTGCTGCTGCAGAGGAGGGGGCAAAGGGCGATGGAGACGTGTTCGCGACGGCCGGGCGGCCGGCGAGCTTGTTTTGCCTTGTTGCTTGTTGGGCCCTTGTCTCCGATCCAGGCGTTGACAGGCCTTCATCGTCACGTCTGTTTTTGCATCGTTTTTTTACTGATCAACCATAAATATATGATCCACTGCCGGTGTTTCCAGTGATAGACGACAGGATCTATTGGTGTCATGGTGATGTGCCTGAAATGCCTCACGAGCCGCGACCTCGAAAGATGCAGGCGCTCGATCGAGCATGGGGGCGGTGCCTGTCGCGAGAAAACATCAGAGAGATAGACGTGCATGGCATTATGGCAGAAGCAGATTGGCACAGGATCCCAGGACGTCGATGCAGATCACCGGCGACTCGTCGCCTCGTGGTGGCGCGCCGCCGATCGAATCGATCCAACTCGGGGCGTGACAGGGACGGCACAGACGGCGGCGGGTGAGTGCTGCCTCCGCACGCCAAGCCAACCTGGGGTGAGTGGCTTGGCTCATTGGCTGTGCTGGTCCACCGGCCCGGCCGGCAGCGACGTGTACGCGGCGCGCAGGGCCCCTGGAGGCCTGGTATATGGTATGGTATCGGATAGGGCCGAGAGGCGCGCGCATGGCTCCTCATTCATCATTTCCTTGGCTGGGGCCCGGAGGTCCTCCGGTCCACCGTTGCGCGCAGCCGTACGCCGTCGCTCTCTGCCTGAGTACCTTCGTCCTCGTCCACCTTCAGATTCTAGTTCTCTTGGTGCCTTGGCCCAAAATCGCGCCAGTCAGACCCATCTCTGAACCCCGGCCGGCCAGCCCCTTGTTCTACTCTTGGTGCCTTGGCCCAAAATCGCGCCAGTCAGACCCATCTCTGAACCCCGGCCGGCCAGCCCCTTGTTCTACGAGTGCCTGCAGCCCCCCTCGTTCATGTACAGACGTGGCGGCCAGGGTCTGTTTTGTACGCCGCCCTAGCCAGCTCCCCATGCCTGGATAGGACAGATGGCCCATGTGTGTTGCCCGGCCAGGCGGCCAGGATCCGGTCCGCCGGCCCCGCGTCCCGCACCGCCGCACGCCAAACTGCCACGCGAAAGAGATACCCGACGGGTAGGCGGGTGGTCCCTTTCCGGCTTTCCCGACCCGTTCTGGTCTGGCGGTCTGGCCGTTTGGATTTGGACTTTGGAGTTTGGAGGGTGGCGCTGGACCGGATGGATAGATGACCCACCCAAAACCAAAAAGCCGAGCCCGAGGCGAGAGGCGGCGACAGAGCGCGCGCGCGCGCCCACGTCCTTTTTCCCCGTCCGTGCCGGCCCCGCTGCCCATCGTTTCCGGCCCGGGTCGACCGTTGCGCCCGCCGGGCAGTCTGGCTTTTTGCTTCCAGCTTCTCCTGCCCTGTCCTCCTTCCAAATCCGGCTACACCAGGCAACAGCAGTTGTGCGGTCAGTCCGTTGCACCTGCAGCCTTGGGTTGGGTGGGGCCCACTTGCTGTTTTACACACCCTGGCCCTGCTACGCTGCTCCTACAGCCTGCAGTGTCGAGAGTCGCCATAGTATTATGTGTTGGCTGGTTCGTATTATTATTAGGTTTGTTTATGTGAGAAAGAAGTATTGTTAGCTGATTTATATAAACAGTGTCCATGTGAGGGGCCAGCCGAGCCAGCCCCATACGAACACGGCGTACTAGTTTTGCTCGATCAAGCAAAACAGTGGAAAGGAAACAAAATCCAGTCTTTTATTCACGGGAAGACTCTAGAAGATTCACGTGGCGCAGGCGCAGGCGCAGGCGCAGGGTCGCCGACTGCGGAGAGCATGTGAGCAGCGGCGTTCCTGCTGATCATCACGCGCACGCCCTGTCTCTGTGTGTCCAGTGCCCTGGCACCTCGCAGGGGCTCATTAACATCGTAGTACTAGTAACATGGTTGGTTTAGGTTAATACACCTTAGTTTCTCTTATAATTTATCTTTTTAACTTATTTTTTAAACAGAATAGTGTTTTCTCTCTCACAACAAATCAGTATGATTAGGCAATCGAGTGCGTGGTACAGATATCACAGTACCTTGGATCGCGCGATTACTCCCACTCTGAGTACGCACTCATAAATCCTCTCGCACTGTGGAGTGGAGCTGTGGAGAGGCGTTTAAAGAGCGGTTGACGTGTGGGCCCACTCTCCCTAGCCCACATGTGACGTGCCATCGAGTCCTTGGATCCTCTGCAGTCCCAGTCCTGCACAGGATATGAGTCCCTGATCTTTACATTGCATTGCAGTGCAGCCTCCCCCTCCTCTCCCTCTTCATGGTCGTTGCCACCATCCCCCATCGAAACCAGCCTAACGGAGTGGTACGACCGATGCGCCTCCTACTAGCTGCTCGTGCTGTCCAGCGTCGTCCGTCCCCCCCTACGACGAGGCCCTTTTGAGTGTGTCGCTGAAGCCAGCCACGAGCCGCTCCATCTCCTGATCTCCCACGTCACAACTTGGAGTAGAGTAACAGCTTAACAAGCTTTACTCCTGCTTCCATTAGCTAGCGACGGCTCACATGGAGGTGCCTCATCTGGGCATCTGCCACGTGTGCAGCTAATACTCGTGCTAATCCAGATCAGTACAAACCAAACCACAGTTGCAGTCGTCGTGCAGGATGCCGATAGCTTCTAATGGTTGGATTACGACGATGTCGTGTCGTCGTGTGGTACTCAGGCCCCGTTTAGATGCAAGTCAAAATCCAAAAATTTTCAAGATTTTCTGTCACATCAAATCTTACGATACATACATAGAGCATTAAATGTAGCTAAACAGAATAACTAATTGCACAGTTTGTCTGTAATTGACGAGACGAATCTTTTAAGCCTAAATAGTTTATAATTGGACAATTTTTGCTCAATACAAACGAAAATGCTACAGTAACCAAAAGTCAAAAATTTTCGCATCTAAACGGGGCTCACTCTACGTGAATGGAGCTGCACTGGTTCCTGTCACTTGTCAGTTAACTATTCCATCTGATCTGATGAATGGGTGAACCGTGGAGCAGATTTAGTCAGCAATTGTGTCGGGTGGAGTGAGATAATATCATGTTTGTTTATGCTGAAATTTAACTTATATCGATATTTATGCTGAAATATTGTGAGAGAAAAATATTATTCTATGGCTGAGGTGTGGGTGCCATTCTATTCTACGGTAATCAATTGTGCCAGTAGTATATTATTAGTACCTGTCACAGCTTTATTATCATTAAGAGCTCTATACTCCTACTCCTACATGAGTGTGATTAAGATTCTCCACCTGCAACCATTGTTGCATGTGAAGTTGGAGTGGGCATTTGGCCGTGATGGCACGTAGCGCTGCTAAGCTGGACCTTTTTCTTTTTTTCCCCCCTTCATTTTTAGCCCGTGGGGCCCACGCTCTGGTGGTGAGTGCACCACTAATTGTGTTCGTGTCATTGTGTGTGTGCCCAAGCGCACAAGCGTACAAGGGGAGCACATTCAATGCAGTTTCTTTTTCCATTTCTTTTGTTTTGCGCTTTTACTTCGTGAGAAAGGCAAGGGGAAAGTGTGGCTCCATGGTTCCTTAACTCCTCCAACTAGAGAAGAGTACTATAGCTTCATATCTATATAGTTCTTTTTTCTATATCATAGTCATAATAAGAGTACCCTTTCATATCTATAGTATGGAATTAATGTCAACACGTAAAACTCCTAAAGTATGAGTATTTAGTATGATAATTGTTAATATCTTTTTTTATATAACTTGTTCGATTCTAGATGCTTTCAAACTTCACAGCTACTCACACATTTAGGGCCCCCTTTAGAACACAGGATATCCAAAAATATAGGAATAGAAAAACACATAGAATTAGAGTTGATCGTACAAGCGTCTAGTCTATCCATATTTGAACGGTGGGTGTCGTCCCCGTTGCCACCATGGTACGGTGTTGTCTCGTTGGTGCGGCATGGCACGGGGATGGTGTCTGACCGGGCCGAGGTGACTACCGTCCCCTCGGTCCTTACGGGATCAGTGCGGCATGCTTGCTCTTGTCAGAGTAGGCGCGCCTAGCTGCGCTCGATCTCCCCCATCCCTCCCGGGGGTCGTGACGGGGAGAGGTCACGCGTCTTCTGTGTGACTAAGGCGGGTGGAAGGGGTCGGGGCTGACCCCATCTTTAGCACCTGCCCTGCTCTGCTCGGCTCCTGCTTGGCCTCGGTCTTTGGGCCCTTGTTGACTGTTGTGTTGCAGGCCGCGCAGTGTGCTAACTAATCGGTGCCTTGAGATATCCCGGCTTATAAACCCCGATTGGACCTCATATTAAATTTTCTCCAAAATTTCTATGGTTTAAGTCATTCTATAGGAATTTGGTAGGATTTCAGGATGGCCAATATTTTCTTCCAAAGAACCATTTGGGAAAATTTTCTATAGGTTTCAAAGGCTACAAAATTCCTCTGTTATTAGCCTAGAAATCGACCAACGAACAGGCCCATTAACCTTTTGTTATAAAGTGGGCCTTAAAAAAGAAACTTGACTGAACAAAAGATCCTTGAATTCTGTTTCCCGGTTTTTCTGCACTTTCCACGGCCACCAGAAAGAGTTATAGAAATTTACACCCCACCCCTCACTCACGTGGTAATTGCACCACAAACTGCAATTGAAGAACTTAAATTTCCGGAAACAGTAACCGCTGTTGCTTCTTCACCCCGTATAAAATCTGGAATCCGACTACTACACTAAAAAAAGGCTTATTTTTATCCATTTTGGCTGCCAAAATTTCTTCACCATTTCTCGTGCATGCAATGCAACTGAATGATATACCTCATGAGTCATGGCCACCTGGCTTCTCCTCAGCAACAGCTCACATTTTTCTTTCTTCTCCACTAGTACCTCCACCCAGCCCAGCCATCTTCCCCACCCCACCAGGCCACCACCACCACCACCTCTCTCTCTCTCTCTCTCTTCCTTTTTCTCCTCTCTTTCTGATGCTTTGACGCCACAGCTCGCCGCTTTGGCCGCCTCTGCCTGCCTCCCACCATCTCCTCTGCCACTGGTTAAAGCAGGGGGAGGAGCTGTAGGAGGAGAACCGAAGAAGAGAACAGAGAGAAGCGCAAGAGAGGGGGACTGAGGGAGCGGGCAAGATGTTTGACAGTTTGCTCAACTCCAAGTTCTACAACAAATGGTACAGAGATCTTTCCCGTTGATTCGGTTTGGTGCGTGATTGGGAGCTTCGGGCCCGGCTGCTCTCGAAGTTCGTTGCCTGTTTTTCTGGACAGCCGAGTTCGAAATCGGTTGTTTTGAGCTTCCTTTTGCCGACGATTTGTTCAGCCTTCCGATTTGCGCGGAGAAAATGAAGTCGAATGTTTAGCTGCATTCGGTCGCTTAGTCGGGTAGCTGCGTCCCTCGGTTCTTGCGTTCCTCGGATTCCGAATTGTTTAGCTCCACTTCTCATCTTCATCTGCGAATTCAAGGAACTGTTCCCCGGACTTGCGAGCGCCTTTCCCCCCTCCTTTTTGTAGCAGAGAATCTGGTCCTGTTCTCGATCTATGTTCTGCTTTCCTGCTGTTTGTCCAGATTCCTGCATTCTCGATTTGGCCTGTGTTTGTTTGATTTCTGCTATTCCCCCTCCTAACCGCTGAATTCGTTGTTGTTTGGTGCAGCAAGCACGCAATCAAGTGCACCCGAACTCGGCTGGATCTGCTGCGGCGGAAGAAACAAGCCATGGTCAAGTTTCTCAAGAAGGACGTCGCCGACCTCCTCACCAACGGCCTTGAATCGCACGCCTTCGCACGGGTACTGTCTTCACTTCTCAAGGCTTGAATTTGAATTGTTTAGTGGTGTCGGACGGATTTGCGTTGGTGCGAATTTGACGAAATGGAAATATTCTTCGAAGCTGAATTGCACGAGAAATTTATGACGAAATGCAGAGCCATGTGATGGTGTTTGTAGTGATATGTTCCTGATTGCTGTTACTTAGCTGTTTCCCCCTGAACTGCAGATGGAAGGGCTGATCGTTGAGATGAACCAAGCATCGTGCTATGATATGATAGAGCAGTACTGCGAGTATATTGTGAAGCTGCTCAACCACATGCAGAAAGAGAGGTAATTGTCAGTTGCCACCCTTCTTCAAGTGATGCACTGATTCCATCTTGTGAATATCTGTTTTAGTGCTGCATACACATGTGCTCTGCATGTGTTTGTGTTCTTGCTAGGAAGAAAAAGGGAAGCATCATAATCCATCCAATTTTTGTTGCAGTAGCTCTGATTTCTAGTATGCTGTAGCTGATTAAGGTGGCTTAGACTTAGACATCATCCCTTTTGAATATTCAGTTTGATCAGTGCTCTATGGATTCCTAACCTAAGTGGCTTGTTTGGAGATAATTGCTTCAGTGCATAGCTTGATTAGATATAACTTGATTTTCTTGTTCATTTGTGCTCAAGGCATGCCATACTCCTGTTGTCATGCATATGTCGCATTTAAGATTGAAAATTCTTTCAGTCAAGGTAGGTAATCACTGACTTGATGTTTTTTCTGGTTTAGCAATTTCCATAGTATCCCAAGATTGTACAAGATTTGGATATTCCTACATACACCAGATCCTTGCTTACTATAATCATGTGTACTGCCATTTTTCTCTCGCCCCCCCCCCCCCCAAATACCACTGTTTTCACATTTAGGGATATGCAGATGGTAGATATTTTTTACTTTGGTTGTTTCTAGTTGTATCATTATCAAAATATCTAGTTCTTTTATTTATCAATTCGATTAATATTTCAATAAGACTTTCTTCCAAATTGGTCACTGAATCTGTGATGTTCCTTAACAGTGAATGCCCTCAGGAAGCATTGGAAGCTGTGTCTACTCTAATATTTGCTGCTGCTAGATTTCCTGATTTGCCTGAACTGTGTGACCTCAGACATATATTTACAGAGAAATATGGGAGTTCTGTCGAGCCTTTTGTTAATTCTGAGGTGCTAAAATTGCTTTTACTTTTCTTATATTTGAGCTGATCTCCATCGTTTGGAACATATGGATTAACTTAACTTTTCTGTGAAACAGTTTGTTCAGAACCTCCAGAGTAAATCATTTACTAACGAAGAGAAGTTGCGAGTAATGAAACGTGTTGCTGAAGAGTTCTCAGTTCCATTTGATAGCAGGGCATTGGAATGGAAGATAACTTGTGGCTCTCAAAATAAGCATGTAAGGTTTTAGTAAACCTTTTGCATTATCAAATACATGCAAGGACTTACCAAAGGAATAATCATTTGCTAAGCATATATGGGTCACTCAATTCTAATCTTCACATTCTTTTGCCATCAGGATCTTCCAAAGAAGAGTTCACTTAAACAGGAGATGGAAGCATCAGCACGAGATGGACACAAAGTTGATAGGCATGCTGTTCATGAAAGAAAAACTAAAGCTATGCCTGAAGGCTATGAACAGAAGCAGGAACAAAACGTAAAGCCCAAAGATATCCATGTTGTTCCTGATGGCATTGGTCAGCTAGGCGAAAAAAGGCAGAAAGAAGTACTCAGATAAACCTAGTGAGAAAAGGCACATGGATAATCCTTTGCCTCCTTTGGACATGAAAGAAAAGAATGGTCAGAAAGAAATGAAGAAATATGACAAAAAAGATAGTCACCATCGGAGGGAACTAATGGATGCGGAGGTGTTGGACCTCAATGGCTTAAAAAAACAGGATGTTGGTGTCGTGAAACTTTCTGGTGGACCTGATCGTAGTTGGGGACATGCTGACTTGGGGCTTAAAACTCTGGGCCTAGAAAAGGAAGAAATTGATTCAACTTGCACCTTGAATGGTAAAACAGTGAACAAGGCTCCTCCTTATTCTAAGCCCTACAGAGCATCAATGGGTGAGAAGGTTGCTGAAGATAGGCAAGATAGACAGCCTGTGCCAGAGAAGGCAGCCAATATGCGTCCTCCTTATGTTAAGCCAAATTTTGAAAAGCATGCAAATCAAGGTGCAAATGCTTACAAGCATAGTGGCGCTGAAGAAATAGGCCACCAGAAGCGTGAACCAATTTATGACCCTGTTTCGGTCAGAAGTAGGATTCCAAAACCACCTGCACATGTTGATGATTATGCTGGAATGGCTAACGAGGAAAAGATGGCAAACCAAGCACCTGATGGCCGAAGAAGACATTCAAGCAAGAGGAATGGAGCCTATGACAATTATGACCATAAAGGTGGTCATGTGCTACCCATAGAAGGCATGGGGGTCGATGATGATATCAACAACGCAAGGCCGTTTCACTGGATTCCTAGTGAGCGAAGAAAGCACAGAAGCAGGCGGAACGGATCGACAAGTGGCAGTGACTACAATGGGGCCAGCGAAGACCACGAGTCAGATGGTGATGATGTGAATACAGCAATTGATTTCGGCAATCTGCTGCCCCGAGCCCCTAGTTCACATAGGAAACACAGGAGTCGGAGTGCTGATCCTCGCAAGGGAGGCCGTGATGATGAGGAAAAGATGATGGATAAGCTTCTGATGCACTACAGCAAGAAAGGGCTGGACAGGGAGGAGCACAAAGAAAGAGTCAAATCCCGGATCCCGCGGCCTCGAGCTGATCAACGTGCTGATGATGGAGCTGGAGAACTGTCTAACAAAGAAGGGGCATCTGCACATCGTCCTGAAAGAGCTGTATCTCTACCTTCAGAATCCGCAAGCCCAAAGGCGAAGCCGAAGTCGAAGGCCCCTGTTCGGTCCTTGTCCATGCAGCCAGAAATGTCAAGAGGGAATGTGCATCCAAGTATGCCAGATTTCGACGAACTGGCTGCCCGGATCAGTGCTCTGAGGAACGCATGAGCTGCCACACGACTGTCTTCTGCAATGCTTCTGTTCTGTCAGGAACTTGTACCATGGAATCTGAAATCTGATGGTGCCTGCGAGTCATGGGAATAAGAGGACGCTCGAGATGTGATCGGCCTGCTCTTGCAGCATTTTATCTTGGTGGTATACTTGGTTGTGTTGCTCGGAGTGTGTCTTGGTAGGGTATTGTCATCAGGAAGAGTTAAATGTGGCAATTCATAGGGATACCACATACTATACCAGTAGTCAGCTACAACGATTTGGATGTGGTTGTCATTGTTGTACTCAGAACAAATATTGTTGGTGTATATATGCCCATTGATGCGGCTATGATGATAAAGGAATCTCTTCTTCTTTTTTTATAGTTTTTCCTCCATTTGTTGATGAGGCTGGAGCAGATGCCATTTTCTTGAGCAACAATTAGGCAGCCTGGCGGCATTGTCTGATTCCTTATTTAATTTCTCCTGGGGGAGGAAGGGCATGTGACGGTTGCCGCATCTAGCGGTGCCGACGCCGAAAGCTTCTGCTCAGCAGAGCTGCAAAATCATTCTGGGCACGTTCTTGCGTCGTGGATTCGCGAGCAATGACTGCCAACTATATTCTTCTTTCTTGAATATTCCAACCAGTCTTTTACATTTATTAATACAGGAAAAAACAATTGGGATCTTCGAACCAATCATATTACTGCTGTACTACTGAATTTTCAACCAAAGCAACCGCTGGCCAGTGGCGGATGCAGAACAGGATTGAAGGAGGGCCGATCTTTTCTTCTTCCTCTCTCTCCATTTTTCTTCTTTCCTCTACATCTTCTTCTCCCTCACCCTCGTATTTTCATCGATGCACCTGTAGAGGGAGATGTGGATCCGCCCCTGGCTGTCCTTGTTTCAGTATTATTTATTTGGCAACTGCTCTGGTACTCCTTTTTGAAAAAATAGCACGGATCCCAAAGCAGGCTATTAAAGAAATTAATTATTTTATATTATTTCGCACCTGAATCCTGCCTAGGCCCAGCCCGAGGCCAGCCCTGATCCATAGTGGAAGTAGTGTAAGTCTCCATGACCCCGTCTTGAGTACGTCGTTTCTCTCGCGTTCTGCTTCTTCTTCCTTTCCTGAGCAGCGGCGGCCGGTGGACCTAGCCAAGTGCCGCGCCTCCTTCCCCCTCTGTCCTTGCCCCCACCGCACCACGCGCCACTGGCCGCCCGCGCCCCACCGAATGTAGATGGTTTCTCCCAGAAGAGGTACAAATCATTTGTCGAGAAACGACAATATAAGTGCACTGTATGCAAGCAGCACGGCCATAACAGGAAAACATATGTCAAACAAGTGTCCATTTCGATCTTTGGAATTGAATTTATTCTAATAATTATAATTTAAGCATATATTAATTAAGTTAATATAGTTATATATATAATATATTTGTATATTATTGTTCGTCATACAAGGGATATTATTTAGATGTTGCATTTTTATTGTAGAGAAACAGGTTAAAAAGTGTGTTATAAGTTGGAGAGTAGAAATATAGCATGGTGCCTATAGAATCCATTTTCATCTCGTACCCTATGAATTTGAGATAGGCTTATTTATGAGCTTGAAAAAGTTATGGAATATCAAAATCCAAATCAAATAGCCCAATCAATTAAGTAAATTTCATTTCCTCCAAAATAAAGAAATCCAAACAGCCCCTAAGTAATTTAAATGTAATATATATGGTTTACATGCTTGTGCTGAAGACTGTGCTATCTGTGATGCGCGTGCCTGTATAATTGGAGGGTAAAAGTGACATTGTTTTTTTTCTTATTTTTTCTCAGGTGCAACAAGGGTGGGACTGATGATGAATCTTCCAAACTCGGACTGGAGGAGAGGCTGCGGACGATCTTTTAGGAGCATCTCCAGTAACTTTTCTAAATCACATTCTTTAAATCATTATTTGAAGAGCCATTTACATAAAAATTATTTTTTATATCTTTTTACTCTCCAACAGTTTTTCTATATCTAATGCGCACACTGGAGAGCCATTCCCATCTTCTATTTTTAGATTGCGAAAAATTCAGAATAGAAGATGACTATATTTAGATGACCATTTAGAGAAACTGTATTCTTAACATTTAGTAATAATATGGAGAATCTCTCGAACATGCTCTAATGCTGCATTGGATGCCAACTGAAATTCAGCAATGGGGCCGTTTGGCTGGTGAAGAATTCAGCCGGATTTCACTGTTTAAGACTAAATATCACTGTTCACTCTCTCATAAATTTCTCCAGATTCTCTAAGTGAACATGTCCAATAGCTCGTGTACAGATCCTACGAGGGGCCAACTCATTTGCAACTTCATGTCCCATTTTGCTGCTATTTGGTGCTAGATTAATAATTCTTGTATCTTGGAAACGTTTCTACACTTCATGATTTTGTTGTATCTTGGAAAACATGTCTACAGTTTTATGATTTGGCTTCATCCTGTACTTCAACCAATACAGTCAGCAGGTCAAGATAAACTTATACTAAGTAACGGCTGCACAAAAGTTTACAACTTGGCTTCACAAAAGCTTACAACTTGTTTATAAGTAGTTGCTGTCCGGAAGGAATTAGTTTCATGAATTCATTACTCAGATACTCAACAATCGCTTAGAACAACACCTCCAAATTTGTGGAGTAGAATCATGAATAAAGTGGAAAAAAATAAAAGAAATATTTTACAACCAGGTTTCTGGCCATTCTATTCTAAGGCCTAGGCTGCTAACTAAACAAGTACACGTGAGCACAATGCTATCTGTACATATCTTCTGTCCTGCACCTGGTTTCAGATTTCTGGTAATCATTGCAGATACTTGCATTGCAGAAGATCAGCAACGAAGCTGTTGGTTCACTTGGTACTAAGATATACAAGCTTGCATGTCTTTAAGAAAGCGTCTAGCAGCTGCATACAAAGGCAACCATGTTAATGTTTATGATGTTCTGAATATTATACCGGCCTCTATTTTCTGTATTATCTAACAACATGACCCAAAAGAGAACTCTTTCGGCAAATGAGTCTTCAGATATAGAGAATATCCATTTTGGGTTTGGATTCCTATATGAGTTATCTGTTGGAGATAGCTGCTGCAAAGTAGGAGAGTATTGCTAGTTAAATCTTCAGGTCCAAATGTGCAATGGAAGATTCAGAAATTGCTGTAAGTAATCAATTTATGACAACCTGGTGTTCAGCTCTTGAAAATCAAATACCAGCCGGTCAGGTTATACTGCGACTGGCATAGATGAACAAGTCTGCCCTGCCCGGTTGCCGAGCCTGCAGAGACATGGGCTCTATCTGTAGTATCTGTAAAATCCAAAATAAATCTAAACATTTGCTTAAAAAAAAAGAAATCCAAACAAACACGGTAGTATCTGATTTTTTCCCTATCCGAAATCTAAACAAACATCAAAGATTACATTTTTTCCCCGGACTCACCCCATCCATAAGAATCACAACTACCTGTGCAATCAAAATCCTAACGAAAACGATCCTATCCGCAAAGATTACATTCACGGACTCTGAGATGAACCCTATATATATCTAACGGCATGCAACCTAATATAAACGTACCGCACGTGTCATCGGACGCGGCTTCCGCCGTCGCTGCCGGTTCTGCTTCCGCCTCCGCCGTCGCCGTCGCCGCCGGATCCGCCTCCCGTTTCCTTCGTCGCCGATACGGATCCAAAGTGCAAAGGTACGTCGGTGAGGAGCGGTGAGGGACGCGGGCAGGATGGAGGGCACACATGTGTTTTTAAAAAAAAAAACATATGAATTTTTTTATTCCTCTCTTTTCTTCCGTTGGCTTGTCTGGCTCACGTGTGCAGCAGATTTCTCCCTTCCCTCACCAACCTGCGCTGCCCCATCCACCTTCCTGCCCTGCCGGCCCCGTGCACTCTGGAGTCTGGACGGCGCGGACGCGCTTCAGGGCCGCACTAACCCGCCGGTCCTCTACGTATATGCGTGCGGCCGGATCCGATTTATCCTTTTGTCCTTGCATAGAAAAAAATTATTTTTTGTGATCTGTGGATCTGTGATCTTGTGATTGTCTGAGGTGGAAAAAAGCTGGAGGTAGAAGGAAGATGGAGGCTGTTGGATTTTAATTCTATGGTGCAAAAAAATTCATGTGTTGAAACTGCATAAAATACATAGTTGTTGGGTAGACAGACTCGATCGATTCTTAAGATCTGTTTTTCACTCGCTCTCGATATATTTATCGTTGAATTGATTATTCCATGGTAGTTTAATTTTAATCATTATTAATTCTGTGCGTGCCGTAAGATTAGTGATTGATTCTTAAGATCTATTTTTTCACTTGCTCACGATATACTCAATTATTAATTCTGTTGCATTCCGTAAGATCAGGATTAATCATTACTAATATTTTGTGCACGCCGTAAGATCATCATTACTAGTTACATCCGATAATATTTTTTCTTAGTTTTACGATACACTGTTTTATGGTAAATCTGTTATTCAAAATCTTTATTCCTGCATGTACAGTAGACTTATTTTGTCTCTCTTTATTCTTGCATCTACTAGTGTAGACTTGTTTGATCTCTTGTTTGAACAGAAAAAATGTCAGACAATTATGGCGACATCTGGTTGAGCGTTTTTGGCATATAGTGGATAAATTAGACTGTGACCAAAAAAGGGCAATTGTAGTTTTTGGACTTGGATGCATGCTGTATATTAGACCCATTAAGATGCGTCAGAGTCTTATTCAGTTTTTACTACAAAATTAGGATGCTAAGGACGAATGTCTTAGATTTGGTCGAGGAAGGGCAATCCACATTACTTATGATGATGTTGAAGACATTATGGGACTATCCAAGGCATATGGTCGCATAGTAGATCCTGATGACTATTACACAACATGATTTGTCAAAGGGTTTTCGATATTCCTATGGTTTGCATGGATTTAGAATTGATATTCCTATGCCCTGCGCCGCGGCGGCCGGTGGCCCATGGTGCGGTGGGGGCAAGGACGGAGGGGGAAGGAGGCGTGGCACTTGGCTCTGTCCACCGGCTGTCGCTGCTCGAGAAAGGAAGAAGAAGCAGGACGCGAGAGAAACAGCGGCGTGAAGACTGAAGACAGAGTCACGGTCTCACGGAGACTTGCACACATGTTACTTCCACTATGGATCAGTGCTGGCCTTGGGCTGGGCTAGGACGGGCTGGGCCCAAGCGGGACCCGGGTGCAAAATAACATAAAATAATTAATTTCTTTAATTGTCCTTTTTGGGATTTGTGCTATTTTTTAAAAAGGGAGTATGGGAGCCGTAGCCTATTTATAAATAGAAAAATAAAATAAATCATGGAAGTACTTTTTTTTTTCCTCCTATGTGATTTTGATGGGTTCAGAGACCATCGACGCCGAGGCCAAACTGCTAGGTAGGCCATATACACTAGTTTGTCCATCAATACAGGGAGGAAGAAAAAAAAGAAGGGGAAACAAAGTCAGCAGCGCATGTCTTGAACTCCGGCGGGTCGTGCAGGGGCAGGTGTGGCTAGCCCAAGGACCTCATGACGCCGACGACGAAATGCAGGATGCAGTCGTCGTCGCCGCCGTCGAGCATGTCGTCGCAGACCAGGCGCTCCAGGGCGGGGTCCCTCGGCAGCGCCCCGGCGTGGTACAGCACGGTCGCCGCCGTCTCGGACACCGGCCGGGTGGCCAGGCACGCCGCCAGCCGCGCGACCGCCCGGAGGAACAGCGGCAGGAGGCCCTGCGCGTGCCGCACGCAACAACGCCGACGCGTTAGCAAACTAGCTAGAGCTAGCACAAAACGCAGTGAGAAACCACGTGCTCACCATGCGAGATTGTGGCCGCCCGGCTGCGTTCGACGATGCATGTGAGATCTCAAGCGCTAGCTCGCCGCCGGTGTTTATATATATACAAGTAGTAGGTTTCTTCATTTTAGTTTGCATGCTGTAGTTATGCCATATCTTAAAATAATAAAATGACTTGAACTAGACCATCCCAATTGCAGAACATTATCAAAATCAAAATTAGCTAAGGCCCAAAGCCATTGTGCAAGATGGAGGAGATTAGAAATAGCATACATGACAATTGAGTGATCAACAAGGTAGTCAGAACCCTCCTCAACTTGTCTTACTTCATCTGTCGTGCCCGTGAGTCCTATCAGATCTGGATGGAACTCTGTGAATCACAAATAGTTCATCAGCAATGAGCAATCAAAAGAATAAGATACTGCAAAATAGTAATAAGAGATCAAAGGGCTACAATATTGAATGATTACAAGCATTAAGAACTAAGGGACAATTGCAAGCACACACCTTTAACATAGTCCCGAACCTGCTCAACAGTATCTCTTTCAGGATCAACTGTAATGAAAACTGGCACAACATCCAGTTTTGCCTTTTCCTCTGCATATAAGAACATATTATAATGACTGAAAAAATATGCTTAACAAACTGTCTACTAGGTCACTTGGGCGCTTCAGTGGAAATTTTCACCAAGTCCAGTCAAACAAAAATACATAACCTTATATGTACATCTCATTTTGGCTTGCCCATTTACCCAATTATTTGCGTACAATAATATGCCATCTAGTTTCTAAGTGACAATATAATGCATATTATTGATAGACAATAAGCAGACACAACAGGATCTATGAGGATACTTATATCCAAGGATCAAAAGAATCAAATTGACTTACTAATTTTGTCAATCGCTGCAGCCATTTTCTGGAGTTCATCTGGGCAAATGTCAGGACAGTGTGTAAATCCAAAATAAAACAGAGTCCATTTGCCCATGAAATCCTTTTCAGTAACAGGTTTTCCATCATGATTCAGAAGCTTGAATGGGCCACCAATGGCTGCAGTGCCTACTGATTGCCCAGGCCTCACAGCACTTGTTCTATTCTTCAATTCTGGGTAAGATGGAAGAGAAAAAAAAATGACAAGATAAACAGCTATCAGAATTCAAGGAGCTAATACCTTCCTACTTCAGATAAATACTTCCAAAAGACACGTGTCCATTTGAAAAAAAAAAGTAGGGAAAGGTTTGAAATGTTCGCTAAAATAGTAAATGGCGATCTGTTTCTGAACCAGAGGGTAATGATTTTGTCATAGTGCAATGGTGTCAAAACAAAAATACAGTTTACAATATAAGATACAATTACAATTGGCACAAAGTCTTCTGACAATGGTTCCACCGTCCCTATAATGGTTTCTGGGAAGCATGGAAAGAGGAACAGACACCTTTATATTGTTTGTTTAACAAGCTTAGTTTTCTGTTCAACTTTTTTATAACTGCTTAAAAGCTATGCATATATATTTACAGAAAAGCTAACAAAAGTACGAAAATGCAAGCAGTGGTTACAAATGAAAATGCACACGAATCATTGCTAACCTATTTTTCTCATTAGTGTAGACTCTGGCCAAATTTGTTGTTAAAAGGCAAGCCAGTATGTAAGGCAGGGAAAGCTTAGGCAACTGGCTGAGTTATGGTTCTCCATTTTGCATACAGCAATGAAGAAAGAATTGATGATTGTCAAGGAACGTATGAAACATAGAGTGGTCCTTAGCTTGCTCAATCATGGAGGTCACAAATGCAGTAAGGTGTCTCCTGCTTTAATGATTTCATTCATTGATAGTAACCATCTTTTTTCAACAAAACTAAAACGAGAATTTTCAGTCTAAGAGATGTATATGCTCAACAGAGATTTTATGGAAGGGAGTTCCTAGCAAATCACCAATACAACTCCCCCAATAGAGTTGTATATTGGGGTGCACCGATATTGTCTTCTACATTTATTGGGGAGATGCCTTTGCAAATCACTAATACGGTAATTGGGGAATGGGGGAGCTATTGGGAAAGGTCCATCTTTCCCTCCATTTGAGGGGAGTTCGCACGAAATATTGGTGGTCACCATTAAAAAGGGATGCGAAGGGGGATCTGTTGGAGCAAGAGGGAAAAACTCAACTCACATTTTTTTTAAGGAAAAGGGATCTGCTGGAGATGCTTTTATATGAAAACGCTGAGATAGACAATGCTAGACATGAAAAGTAGGTTCTTGAAGAATAGATAAAAGCTCTAAAATACCTAGTGCAGCACTCATAATAAGTGGACATAACAATAAACATGAGACAATGTGTTGACTGTATGAATAATGCATTCCAGAAGCATCATGTTTTAGTAAGTAGGTATGTTGTATGTAGCCAGGTGCAACATTCATGCAGCCAAATCAGAAGCTATTAACATTGGGAATTAGTGACAGAGAAGCTGATACACTACACATCTACAATTTCAATTTCAATTTCATTTTACATCTAACAGTTGACCACCAGCATGACACTTGAAGACACAAGGTTGCATGTCGAAACCACACCCACAGGCCACAGAAACCTTTGTTTCCAGAGCAACATCCCAAGTAGCCATGGCATAACATTTTATAAGGGTAGCTAGATATTTTGAGTGTACTCAAGCATACGAATTCAGGATTAGACAGTTCAATAGTTATATGAAACAGCATATATGGTAAAGTGGAGATAAACACTAGGTTGAACTACCACTTGAATATAACTTTGGAAACACTTAGTTACTGGACTGAACCCATGCAAACTATCCACCTAAAACACCTCAAGATTTGTTTACTGATTGCCTCTAACATAAACTTTTCGGTTTGGCTAACTGATGTTGATGTTTACTCCACATCCAATATGCCTTGATACAACACGGACATTGAAAGATCTTCCCATGCACCGCTAAATGACAGCAAACAACAACAACTCACCATCGTAATCTACCTTCAATGTGACGCTTCTTTTCTTTGTCGTAGTACACAATTATCCCTCCTCCAGTCACGAGCAGTAGTAGAAAACTGAGCCAAGACACCGGCTGCAAGGAAGTAGCAAGTGCTTCTGAATTAGCACGCATAGATAAATGGCCTAGAAACAAGGACTGTCCTGTTTCATTGGGCTCTAGATCACTACTAATTGGTGCCATATGAACCATTTCAAAGCAATCACTTCTATTTGTCCTGAATAAGGGGGATCCAATAGCTTTGGGTTAGTGCAATCCATGACTTACCCCTCCGCGGACGGCTTTTCTGGCGTCCGCTTGCTCAGATTTCCCAGACTGACCATCATCCCCTCCCTCGCCGCCCGCACTGCCCGCCGCCGCCGGCGCAGGGGGCTTCGACCCGCCCTGCGTCGCAGCCGCGGCGTCGCTGGAGAAGAAGCGCGCGCTGCCCCAGGAACCCAGCTCCGAACATCTCAGCGCCACTCCCACAAGGGCGAGCGGAGATCCATCGCTCGACGCACGCCAAGGACGGGGGAGAGCCGCCGAGTACCTGAGGCAGAGCGCGACCGCGAGGAGGGAGGCTGGGAGAGAGCGCTCGCGAGAGGAGCGCGCGGAGATGGGACGCGCGGCCTCTCATCGCCTCCTCAGTCGTCACTCGCGCCTCGTCGCCGGAGTGGGAATAGTGGGGTGCTCGTCTCCGCAAGCTCGTGACCGCTGATCTGCTTTGCTTCCGATACGTTTCGATAATAGCAGGCAGCACAGGCTTTAAAGGCGTTAGTTACGTGATTTTTTTATAGAAACAAATACAATACATAATACTAGAACTACGACCCGGAAAATTGTTTGAGCCATGTAAATTCTAAATAGTTTTTTTGGTTTCCCGTCCCGTTTATCCACATTGCTGCTGGATCCATCCCACTGTTTTGAAGCCCAGAAAAAGAGCTTTCAGTCCAGCCAAAGCAAAGTTAATTTGGTATTTGTTGGGGTGCGCCAGGCCATGCCAGCAGTGCAACGGCTGAGCGACGCTCGAGGGGCCCAATGGCAAGCCACTGTGGTGACCCCTCCCCCACAAAAAATAAATTTAATATCGAAGTGGGCACATGGCCCACATATCAGATATTAAACTGATAAGAACAGATACTACACTTGATCTTAGCCAAAAGGCCGAGAAAGGTATGAGCTTCGGACGGAGCCCTGCGCCTTGTTTTATAGCGCGTTCGACCGCCTCATGCCCCTTCAGCTAGCGAGGTGGTACTAACGTGCAGGGAACCGGAAGCGGGGGCGAAGCTGCGGAGCGCAGCGCTGTGGCTCAGGCGCTCAGCCGTTCGGAGTTGGATGTTTGCTTACGGCCCATTACAAAATTTGCAGCCCACGCTGCTCGGACGGCCCAGCAGGTCGCCTTCTGCACTAGGACAGGCTGGCTGTCTCCGCTCCGATGAGAACTAACCTCGCTGACATGTGGGCGTTCATGCGAGATTGTGGCCGCCCGGCTGCGTTCGACGATGCATGTGAGATCTCAAGCGCTAGCTCGCCGCCGGTGTTTATATATATACAAGTAGTAGGTAGCATCGGAACCATCTACTGGGAGGCGGAGGCTGCAAACGGGCGGCGGTGGCAACGACGGGCGCCCATTGTCGCGTTGGGCACCGGCAGTTGCTTGTTTGTCTCGTCGCTGTGCTTCTCCAGCTCTCCGGTTTTGGTTGCTCTTCGCCTGAGTGGCTGCGTTTTTCCTCGTCGGGATCGCAAATAAGGATGGCAATGGGGATATACGCGTCGCGGGTATCGCCGGAACGTTCTCTTCCCCACTACGAAGAATTCATCCCATCCCCGTCCCCGTCCCCGTTAACTGTCTCGGGTATAGATTCTTGCCCATCCCCGTACCCGTCGGGCATCGGTCGGGTAACAGATACCCGACGGGTATTGCATACCCGATAAACAAGGACACTTGGGGTCGCAGCTTTGCAATCGGAGACGTTTCTTCTTCACCCAAGTATAAGTGTCGGAGTCTCGGAGATGCCGAGGAGAAGGAGCGAGGTTGCGAGGAGGACGAGCAAAGGTGGCAGAGAGATCGAACTGAGGAAGCGAGGGGCACGAGCGCTCGTAAGGCAGGCGTGCTTGTGCTGCTGGCGGAGATAGTGAGGAAAAATTAAACTAGGGTCCCTAAAACACACAAACTATATATATATGATTGTATAGATTTGGACCAAAATACTTATGTTGAGCTTCTTTGGGCCTAATACTCGCATGACAGCTCAAATAGTCGGGTTCCCCAACGGGTAATGAGGATGGGTAAATAGGGAACGTTCCCGTACCCGCTATACCCGTCGGGGATGGATTCTTGTCCATTTAGATGCCCGCGGGTAAAGATATGATCCCATCCCTGTCCCCTAATCAAATACCCGTCGGGTATCGGGTATCGGAGCCCGTTGCCATCTTTAATCGCAAAGCCCCGACACTGACAGTTGACAGCGACCGGCCGAGGGTTGGCATTTGGTAATTGGTATGGCTCGCTCGAGTCTGTCTGGCAACAAGAAAGGCCGGTCCACTACCATGAAGTTAGTGAAGAAATGGCAGTATGCTGTGGGAAAACTTGTGGAATGATTCTATTCCAAAATGGCAAAATGGCAATACCCACACCTTTACTCCTTTGCCAAAAAGAAGCCCATCACCATCTTTGAAGCAAAGAATACAGAGCATTTTCGCAATCGGTTCCATTTACACCCATTCTAGGACACCCTGAATATCCTAGAACTGCAGGACAATCATGATTCCTAGACTTACATCTGGGGTTCGAGCAACTTCTCCTCAAAAAGGGCCTACGATCATTTAAGTGGAAGCATGCCGGCCCATCCAGATCCAGCATTCCAGTGATTGTGGAAAAGTTCCTATCAAAATAAACACAAGATCTTCTTTTAGCTACTTCTAAAGGACAGAATAAGCACAAGAGACTTACTAAGAAGAAGAAAAGCATGGAGCTACTAGACTACAACTGTATCTTATGCAATGCAAACACAGCAGAAACCACAACTCACCTGTACATCACTTGCAAATTTGCCTCACCTTGTTGGGAAAAAATTGGGCTGCATGTCACTGCAAACTTAAGCCCACAGCAAAACCTGGAACGGCTGAAGACTCAGATCAGCAATCCCTTCTTCATGGAAATCACAGTATTGATGTCATGGGCAATTTGGATGTGCAGAAACAACAAAATCTTCAAGAACACCACTCCAACAGTTCAGATTTGCAGGGCAATTTTCAAGCTTGAGATATCTTCGCTCCTATGGCGTGCGAAGACGAAGATTCTACCTTTACTACAAGAATGGTGCCGATACCGGACGCATCGCTAATGACTGGCACCTCAACCTGTCCGCCCACACGTTCACTAGGCCCATACCAACATCACTCGCGAGGATGGTGCTCCACAATCTGCATATTGGCTTCAACAAACCTCAATGGCAGCGGCCCTAAGTTCTTGGGCCCTATGTCACAACTCAGGTCACTAGAGCTTGGCTAGAGCCCCATTGTGGCTAGTTTGGAAATTTCAACCCCATCAGGATCCTGTTTTTTTTTCGGCAGTAGACAATCCATAGACATGTCATTTTAATTAGCCACTTAGTCATATATAAGAGGCAGTCATATATAAGAGGCTTTCCATTTTTGGGTTTGCCTTCCCCTTATTTTCAAATTAGGCCTTGTGGTGTGTGTGGGGGGGGGGGTGCCCTGCTATAGCGCCTTGACATCAAGGGCGCAGGGCTTGTGAGCACTCTATCCTTTTTTTTAGAGAACGCGCTTAGGTGTGTATTTCATTAAGGGATGGGCGCTCTATCGCTAGAGCTTGGCAAACTTAGGCAGCTCAAGTTCCTCGACTTTTCCGCGAACAAGCTCGTCGGGACCTTATCAACATTGCTTGCAGGGATGAAGAAGAGGCGAGAGTTTAACATTTCATCAAAACAAGCTCATTGACGATACCCTGAGGCTTCTCTTTGTAAGCTGACTGGACTTATTCTCATTCCAAGTCCAAGGCAATATGTTTCACCGGGAATATTCCACCCGAGGTTAGAAAGACAAAGGAGCTAGAGATTGTGAACCTTTTTAGCAACAATTTCACTAGCTTTATCCCACGGAATTTGGGGAGTTGAAGCTGCAATAATTAGATTTGTTGGTGAAATTAGTCACGGGGCTGTTCATTCATTTCTCCACCAAGCTAACAAACCTGACACTCCCCTCCAACGCACTCAGAGGCGAAGTTGCACTATGATTAGGGGGTAGGGGCAAAATGCACCCCTATATTTTGAAAAAATCAGTTATAATGGCAAAAATCCCACCATATATATATATGCACCATCCATGACAAAGTCTCTATGCATCCATAAGCCAAGTGCATCCCCATTCGATCTCCTCTAGCTTCGCCATTGAACGCACTCACCAACACAATCGGACCTTGGCGCAGGGCTGGATTTAGTTGTAGCCAGCTTCTCCAACAATAGTTTTTCTAGCGAGCTGCCCTGAGCCTTTGCGATGGCTTCGTGCTGTATAACCTCACAGCAGAAGTGTCTGGAAATTCTACTCTTCTCTAGAAATGAATTAAATTCTACTCTTCCTAGAAATGAATTTTTGGAAGCAGCTAACAATTTGCGCCGCCTCTAAAAAAATAGGTAGAATACAGTAAAATTCATAGCTTTTCTAGATAAATTGGGATGAAGACAAACTTTATATCAAAAGTGTAGATCTCAAAGGCATCTACAACTTTGTAGTTGACATATTTTTCATTTGAAACCATTTAGGGCTCGAAAATTTTGTTTTAAGCTTTCAAATTTTAAAATTCATTTTCGGAATTTTTGAATGGAGAAACGACATAAACCAAAGTTATAGTGCTCTTTGCGGTTCAAACTTTTTTCATTTGAATTTATTTAGTATTTAAAATATTCATTATAACATTTGTTTAATAAGTGAATAAAAAAAGATTATATCATCTGTTTGGTTATAAGTGGCTTTGGAGTAGTAGACCTATTCATGGGCCACCCGACCTAACCAACCCGACTCGACCCGCTCGAAAAAAGCCCAAGCCGATCCACTAGTGTGTCAGGTCAGTTTTAGCCTATGATTTTTACCCATGGTCTAACCCAACCAAACAAAACCCAACCCAAAGTGCGAAAATCCCAAAAAAAAAAAAAAAAATAGCCCGGTCGACACGCCAATGTGTGAGGTAAGGCTCGAGCCAACGACTTTGACATGACCATTTTTTCAACCCAATCTGACATTTTATTAGGTCTACTTTTTTGTGGAGCGGTATGGAAGGAGCATGCGAGGTTTCAGATTCTGAGTTCAATCACCCCCTGGCTAGCACACACGTGAAAATCACCTAGCTTGTGTTGTTTTTGCTTTTTTTAGCTCCATTTGTATATTCTATAAAAGATTTCTAGAGGCAGCTGCATCGGCCGACCTCTAGAATTCGCTCTTTGGATAGCCACCTCTAAAAATCATTCTTTGGATAGCCACCTCTAGAAATCATTTTCTAGATACAAGTGAGCGGAGCAACCACCTTTGAAGAACCATTCTAGCCACGGCATAGCAGTTGTCTTTGAGAAACCATTATAACTGTCTCTAAAAATAGTTTTATAGTGCATCATCACGAGTCATGCATAGGTTACTAGTAAGTCTTTAATAAGTAAACTGAACATAGGCACTTGTTTCACACTAGTCAGGCAAACATGATGACTTCAACATTCCATGCAGACGAATCTGTCTGCCCTAGTGAAGCTATCAAAATAAACCATAATTACTCTTTTCGCCATGATTGCTAGCTCCAACCTTGTGAAACCGAGACGGTGATATAGAATGACATTGGGTGGCCTATGGCATATATATATATATATATATATATATATATATATATATATATATATATATATATATATATATATATATATATATATATATATATATATATATATATATATATATATATATATATATATATATATATATATATATATACGGCTGTCAAGAAGTGAAGCAGTAGCAGTCGCCAGGCAGGTCGCCAGGCAGGACATCACAATGCCCGCCAGTATAGCCTTTGCTCGTGCACAGCTCGAGGCAGGAGAGGGCATTGCCAGTGCCATTGTTGGGGAAGCATGGACCAATCTTGATCGTCCCATGACCTTTGGGGTAAACGAATTTCAGTTAAAAAGGAGTCGACCAAGAACCAGCTACATGCACTATATATTTAGATGCATATATGCGCAACGACTTTATCCAAAGAAAAAAAAGTGCAATATGTCCATGTTCTTACCGCCGGTCGTTGCTGCCGGTGGTCCCTCAGGGGGTTCGTAACCCTTCGGCGGTGACGGCCCCGGAACAGCACGGCGCGATGTTGATAGCTCATCAGTGTTGGCTTGACCACCACCTACATATATGCAGCATAACCAAGCAAGTGAGGAATAGAGTGTCTGTACGTAGTTCGGTCCAGTAATTAGATCTGTTAGTGAGGTACTAGTTGAATTGTCGAATGCATAATTCGTACGCTTACCGGAGGCCAAGAGTAGCACGAGTAAGAGAGGGACGAACAGAGCCATGGCTGCAGACCGATTCATCACTGTGAGGAGGAAGAGAGCTGATGTCCATTGGTGTCACTATGTGCGTCTATTTATATAGGCAGCCCTCGACAGTCAATCAATGGTCATTGGTCAACACTAGGTGCATTGTTATTATTGAATAATACAAGGAAACATTAGTATGTACTACAACACCAGGGTGCATATCATTGGCAGAAAATTAATCCCTGCTATATTATGGATGCGTCAATGGCATGACAATAAAGACCTGTTTAGTTGGCGGCCAACGAGGTAGTTTTACCTGTCAGCAGGCAAGGATCTCAGGCCGTTGATTTTGGTTGTCTGGCGACCAGTATCGATGCCTGCCAAATTACAAATTACACCTAAACATGGCCTAAGTATTGCCATGCAAATTACACCTAGAATGTTTGCACCTTTGGTAGGAAATTAATGTTGACACTGTACATGTTAATATGTAGTAGGCGTCACTTGATTTTGAAGATTTCATTGGACACCAATTGTTGAGGCAGTGAATAACTATATATTTTTCTAATTCTAATTTTAAGAGCAACTTTTAGGTAGATTTTAGGCGTGGTTAGTGGCGACGTCGAGCAGGTCGCTGGTGGTACGGGGCTTCAGGCATCCAAGCGCTTGTGGATCAGGGACTCACAGGTCGTCCCGGAGAGGAATGTGCTGATGATGTCCGCGTCGACGACATCAGGGAGGGAGTTGCATCGTTGGGAGAACCTGCGGATGTAATCCCGCAGGGACTCGCTGGGCTCCTGCTGACAACTCTTGAGGTCCCAGGAGTTTCCAGGGCGGACATACGTCCCCTGGAAATTTCCGACGAAGACCCTCTTGAGGTCCGCTCAGTTGCGGATGCTGTCGTGCGGGAGAAATTTAAGCCATGCCCGAACATGTTCCCCCACGCAGATGGGGAGATATTGAATGATGAAATAGTCATCATCCACCCCTCCGGCTCGGCAGGCAAGCCGAAAATCTTCGAGCCAAATACCGGGGTTTGTCTCCCCAGTGTATTTGGTGATGCCGGTGGGCGGTCGGAAGCCCTGTGGGAACGGCGCTCTCTGGATACGCCGGTCAAAGGCCCGTGGTCCCGGGCCCTCAGGGCTGGGACTCCGGTCGTTCGGCCGGCGACCATGCTTGGGGCGCGTTTCACCGCTCCCCTCGATTTTTCGGCCGGGATCCGTGTCGCATGCTCTCACCACCGCCCGGTGGACGTCACCATCATGCCGGGCCCGATGCTGGTTGCTGACGACGCTGCGAGCGTCCTGGTGCAGACCGGGTCGCTCGTGTACCGGCAGTCGGTGCGAAGCAAGTGCCATGTCAGACCGAGGCGCAGCTGCTGCCTCCCGAGCCGCCCCTGGCGGCTATAGCGGCGAGCGGATGGAGCCATCCGTATGGCGCGTCCCCACTCCCCCGGTGGGAAGAGAGGGCGCGTGTCGGAGTCGCGATGCGGAGCTTTCCGCTTGTTGAACGGCGGCGGCTTCTACTAGAACCCGGAGGTTCCGGTAGACCGCTCGCTCCTGGGGGTTGATGGGCTCGGGAACGCCGTGCAGAAGCATTGCAGCAGCAGCGATGTTCTAGCTAGCCCGAGAGAACTGTGGAAGATCGTTCCCCTCGTTTATGATGCCGTGTTGGACCTGGCGGGCGCGACCCCGGGCGCCACTCGCCGGGTTATGCGCATAGGGCGCAACGTGCTGCACCGAGCTCGCCGGCGCAGGCGGCGGCTGGTTCTGCCGCTGTTGTCGTAGTTCCTCGGCGTGCCCTTGCGCAAACGCGAGGGCCCCCGCACACGGGTCCGGAGGGGTGTGAGTTTGCGCAGACTCCGCAACGACTGGCGACTGGCCTGGAGCGTCCGCCATAGCACACTCCCGGGTGAAAGGTCCTAATAGCTAGAGGGGAGTGAATAGCCTATTAAAAATTTCTACAACAACACTTAGCAAACCGGTTAGACAATTATGAGGCGAAGCAAGTATTGCACTAGCCTACTAAAAATGCAAACCACCTACCACAATTCTAGTTTATATAGTTTTTATCCACACAATGGCTATATCACTATACTAAGTTAGCGCGTTCTCAAATGCTAACTAAAGAGTCACACTAACCAAACTAACAAGCTCTCACAACTAGCTACACTAAAGAGCTTGACAACTAGTTTGCGGTAATGTAAAGAGAATGAGCAAGATGGTTATACCGCCGTGTCGAGGAAGGAGCCAATCAATCACAAGAATGGATAACAATGAAGACCAATCACCTTGGAATCAAATGATGACACAATGATTTTTTACCGAGGTTCACTTGTTTGCTGGCAAGCTAGTCCTCGTTGTGGCGATTCACTCACTTGAAGGTTCACGCGCTAATTGGCATCACACGCCAAACCATCAATAGGGTGCCGCACAACCAACACAAGATGAGGATCACACAAGCCACAAGCAATTCACTAGAGTACCTTTTGGCTCTCTGCCGGGGAAAGGTCAAGAACCCCTCACAATCACCACGATCGGAGCCAGAGACAATCACCAACCTCCGCTCGACGATCCTCGCTGCTCTAAGCTGTCTAGGTGGCGACAACCACCAAGAGTAACAAGCGAATCCCGTAGCGAAACACGAACTCCAAGTGCCTCTAGATGCAAACACTCAAGCAATGCACTTGGATACTCTCCCAATATCACAAAGATAATGAATCAATGATGGAGATAAGTGGGAGGGCTTTGGCTAAGCTTACAAGATTGCTATGTCAATACAAATGGCCAAGAGAGTGAGCTTGAGCCGACCATGGGGCTTAAATAGAAGCCCCCACGAAATAGAGCCGTTGTACCCCTTCATTAGGCACAACACGGGGTGACCGGACTTAGGACCCCAGCGTTCGGTCGTGCGATGCACGCCACGTGTCCCCTCTGTTCAAATACAGAGCGCCTGATCCCAACGATCAAGTGATGACCGGACACGCTGCTATGAAGTGACCGGACGCTGGACCTCAACGTCCGGTCGTTTCCACTAAGCATCCAGAAGCGAGAAAATCACGACCGGACCCGTCCGGTCATGCTCGACCGGACTCACCCAGCGTTCGGTCACTCTGCATCTCCACTGTGCGCTGCCACGTCAGTAGGACCAGAGGCACCCCTTCAGTGTCCGGTCACCAAGTGACCCAGCGTCCAGTCACGGATCGACGGCAGCGTCTTCACGCATTCACTGACCGGACGCATCGGTCCTACCGAGGCCAGCGTCCGGTCACTTACAGTGACCTCCGTCTTTTTTGTATAGAGCGCTGGTGGCACCGTCGGACTGTCCGCACTCTACGGACGGACACTCCGCCGGTGAAGTTCCTAACCCTTGCTCAAATGTGCCAACCATCAAGTGTATCACCTTGTGCACATGTGTGTTAGCATATTTTCACAAACATTTTCAAGGGTGTTAGCACTCCACTAGATCCTAAATGCATATGCAATGAGTTAGAGCATCAAGTGGCACTTTGATAACCGCATTTCGATACGAGTTTCACCCCTCTTAATAGTACGGCTATCGATCATAAATGTAATCACATTCTCTAAGTGTCTTGATCACCAAAACAAAATAGTTCCTACCATTTATACATTTGCCTTGAGCCTTTTGTTTTTCTCTTTCTTCTTTTCAAGTCCAAGCGCTTGATCATCACCATGGCATCATCATCATCATCATGTCATGGTCTCCATTTGCTTCATCACTTGGAATGTGCTACCTATCTTATGATCAGTTGATAAACTAGGTTAGCACTTAGGGTTTCATCAATTCACCAAAACCAAACTAGAGCTTTCATCGGGACGGATGGTGGCTAGGTGCCACATCGCCGTTGCTAGAGCCGTCGCTCTCACCCTCATCATCCGGGAGTTCATGGAAAGTGATAGGAGCATAGCTCGCCATTCCCACGAATTCGGATGTGAGGGGGGATGGCGGCAGCGTCCTTCGAAGCTCCCGAGCACACGCGTCCACGGGGGACGCGAGGCCGTAGGGGAACCGATCGTACGGTGTCCATAATGTGGTCAATACGGTCCCTCCGGATAATCGACGGGAGATAGTAAATAGAGAATAAATTATAGTATGCATATTACTCACAGCGGGGTTTGAGCAGAGAGTTTGCTTGGAATGAAGCACAGATGCCTCGTCGTTGAAGTCGTCGTGCGTCCCGAAGCCAATGGAGGGCGCCCCTCTGATGGGTGCCGAAACGAGAGTCTCCTCACGGAGGCGTAGTACGCCGAGCCGGTCGGCGACGAAGTCCAGGCTTCCGAAGAGGAAGGCCTGAGATGGCTCGAAGACGGGTGGAACCCACATCCCAACCGGTGGGAGAGCGGGAAACTCGAGTGAGCCGAAGCGAGTCGTATCGCTTGAGCCCGCCATGGCGAAGGTGGCAGAAAAGTGGGACATCCGATGACCAAAAAGTGTTGAACTTACAACGTCTTCCCCACGGACGGCGCCAACTGTCGGTGCAGAAAGTGACCAACAAGTAAATATTTATAGTTTTGCCGTACGTTATGATTGGAGGTGGCCTAGCACTCAATGACACAGGGTTTATACTGGTTCAGGCAACGTGCCCTACGTCCAGTTTGAGTCGGTCGATGACTTTATTACTGAGCCCAAGTGCTCGAAGTTTGCAGTGGGGTTACAAACGAGAAGGAGAAAGATGGGGATTACAAGAGGTCCAGTCAGACTCCGGTTGGAAGGGCCAAGAGCGACAGGAGCTCCGCTATGAGCTAAGTGTTCAAGCATGTGCTTAAGGTTCGAACCTAGCGGTTCCGTGGTTGTGAACTAGTGAACTTGATCGATCTAATGAATCTAGAATCACTTGAATATTAGGAGAGAGCGCATCCCCTTTTATAGATGAAGGAGACGGCCTTACAAGTGAGAGGAAGAGAGTATGTATGCTTCTAAGCCTTGTTGCCCACGCCAACGGGTACAGGATGATAGTAGGCGCCCACAACACTGTTGGATGTCGGCTGCACGTGGGAGGCTACGTTGTTTTGTTCGGGTATGGCAGATGTCGGTACCTGCTATACTGTTGATGCCCAGAGGCATGTGCGAAGTTTCACCAAGTTCACTCGGTACGGTAAATGCCAACGCCCACAACACTGTCGATGCCCAGAGGCACGTGGGGGGAGCCTTACCGTATGGGAGTTAACGGCGCCCACAATACTGTAGGGAAAAAATATCGGCACCTACAACACTGTTTGGGCTCTGTTGTGCCAGGGAGGTTGCAGAGTACTATTTCTGCAGGTGTACAGGATATGGTCCCTGGTATCGTGGTTTGACTTGTGCACCCTGCCTTGCTTTCTCCGCCCATTTCCTAGTCCTTACCGAGCGGGCGTCTCCGGTCGGTTGGTCCCAGTCAGCTCTGATTGCGCCAGTCGGAGAAGAGCAGTGAACAGGATTTTGGCGTACCCTGGTCGGAGACGTGGGGTCAGAGTCGGAAGTAGTGTTTTGGCCAGGCCTTCCGGTCGGAGAGGCCGTCTAGAGGTGGACTGGAGATCGAAGTGAGCGCTCCGGTCGGAAAGGTGGGTCGGAGTCGGAAAACGGGCGCCGCTCCTCGGCCAGACCTTCCGGTCGGTGATTGGATCGCCCTTTCGGCCTGTTGTTCAAACCTAGGCCGGCCCATGAGTTGCGCGTTGTCTGCTTGGGCCGAGCCTTTGTTGGGAAGCCGGTCCACGAGGGAACCCGGGTTTATGAACCTGACAGAGATACTTTCTATATGAAAGTTATAGCTCTCGGTGGGATCTACAAATTTATAGTTTTAGGTTTTTATATTTGAAATCATTAAGATGCTTAAAAATAATAGAAAGTTTCAGCATCGTATTAATCGCATACAAGCACTTGTCGTCTTGAAAAAATCATATCTTTCTTATATGATGTCAAATGGATATACTTTCTATATAAAAGTTGTAGCTCTTGGTGAGATCTACAACTTTATATATAGTTTTAAGTTTTTTATTTGAGGTCGTTATCTTGGGCGCGCGACGTGACTATGCATGTTTAAAACAAAGTTGAACAAGTGTTAAATTCCCACGCGGCGCTATCGCGGTACGTGATAAGCTCGAGTTCACAATTCAAATTCTACCTAAAGAAATTTAGATCAAATAAATTATTGAGCTTCCTGGGACGAGTCTAGTTCACCACCTGAAAGTTCAATAAGATCTACAACTTTATAGTTTGATTTTTTCCATTTGAGGTCATTAAGATGCTAAACAATAATATAAAGTTTTAGTAATATATTAATTATGTACTTAAGCTTGACGTCTCATAAAAATCTTTTCTGGTGCGTGCCACACATGCTTGACCATTAGTTAAAGAGAAAAGTACCCTTTTTAGGTATAAGAAAATATGACAAGAGAATACGGTTACACTAAGCGATAAAAGGAATATGTCAAGGTCATAGTTTAATTTCTAAGTTTATTATATCTCGCCAATTTTACAATTAACGATGTCTATTGTTGGGTAACTTTTTTTCACCATCTTTGCATAAAACTTTTATGCGAAGCGATGACAAAAGTGTAGTGAGATAGTAATAGTATGTGACTAAACTATCTACCATCAGCCTAACAAATCAATCATCTTCATCCGTTTTTTTGGTAATACTTGAATTCCCAAGTCGACTTTCGATTACACTACACCACAATACCAAGACTGGCGATGCACAATTTGACGCTAAAAGTGGATATAGCGACAAACGGTCTATCGCTAAAAAGTTATAGTGACAAGTGCAGACGGTGTAAGTGTTGTCGCTAAAACTCTTTATCGACATATCATCTTTTGCTCTGAATATTTATAGTGACAGATAGCCCGATGTTAGTCTTTAGCGACAGATAGCCCGCTGCTAGTCTTTAGCGACAGACAGCCCGCTGCTACATATAGTTTTACCGACAGATGATCCACCGAGATAGTTTTAAATGGTTAAAAAAAAAAAAAATTGATCTGTCAACAATTATTACAAATGTCACACTGAGCTTCGAAAGTTCATTCAGCAGATACACAGCTAGAATTCAACTTCAATAAAGATGCATGTATAATGGTTTCGGGACTGTCTTATCAAACTTTTTGGTCTATTTACTTGGTACTAGACATCTACAGGATAATGTTTCTCATCTTTGAATTCACTCATTAGACTAGAAAATTAAATAGAAAAAAAAAAAGACAATAAAGCAAAATTCAGCCCACTAATAATGTTCAGTTACAACTCACATGGTTTAGAGACTGAACACTGTAAGCCTTTTGATCACTGAAGGAAGCATAAACATGTTGGTAAGCTAATGAAAGGACTAATGCTAATCTTCTGATAGCTAAGGAAATGAACGCTAACTAATTAACTAGCTAATGAAAGCTAGTTAACATGTGGAAAAATAAACTCAGAGCAACAATAATTATATCTTCACAGCCTTCCCTTTTCAGGTTTCCTATTTAATCACTAAAAAGTATGTTGATTCAGCCAAAGGGGAGGTCATCAGATCCATGCAAGAAGAAAGATCCACACAAGAAGAAAGGGGAGGCTTCAAGGGAGGGATGAGGACATGCGATTACCTTGCAGTATGACAAATTAACCTCCACTTGGGGTTTATAAAATTTCAGATCCAAGCTTCTGTCAAGTTTATAAAATCTCAGTGAATTAAATACTCATGTGTGCATACAGACTGCATATGCAAAAGAAGATACTGCTACCAACAAAGAAGCTAATTCAATGCAAAACTGAGACAAGCAACATGAGTTCAAAATAAACAGCAAGTATTAATTAAATGATTATGGAATGGTGGCCGATATGTAACAAAGGTCTATCTTGTAAGGTCTATCTTGTAATTAATTGATTATGCAAAACCGAGACAAGTTTGTTGCTAATTTTCATTACTAAAAAATGAAACAGTAAGGTCTGCACCAATCTCAAAATGCTTGCACCTCTGGGGCACGGGAACCAGGAAAGATTGAGACATACTTGATTCAACAGCATGTTTAGCATAGGAAAAATGAGACAGTACCTTGACCGGGTGATGTGAGTAGTGCTTGCAGCTCTGGCGCTGCAGCTTCAGCATAATCTCAACATTTGTCATATCCCAAACTGTGCAGCCAACAGGCATTTAGAATTCACAGTTATTTTTAGACATACATGTTGGCATCAAAACAGACAAAAGTATAAATGATTGTTAGATCAATTGTATAACCACATAGATATAAGTTGGGAAAGGAAATTGAAAACTCAAATTGGAGCTTATAAGTCCTCTGAACCATTAAGCATTTGAACAAATAATTAGCTAACAAGTCCAATTATGCCTCAAGCAAAATAGAAAGATTTGTTAAAAAATGCCATGACCAGAAGCTACCTTATGAACTAGTCCACATCGATCACAACTCTATTTGAAGAATAGTAGAATAGAACTCTCCCATGAGCTCTAAATAAACAACTCACATAATCTGAAAACTTGACTAAATTCCTAGGCTGCTCGTTGTTCTTACCAAAATTCTCATGATGCTTAACCAAACGCAGCAAATGAATACTGCCTGGATATCTACATGAAATTTTCTACAACTCTTGTTTTAGTGAATAGGACCAATTCTGTCTTTAACTCAGTCAATAAAAAAGCAGAAACAGTTTGCCGGGTCATTTCAAGCTTACAGAAACAGAAACTCTGCTGGGCCTTTTGTTTTAGGCCTACAAGTGACCATGCTTTGCATATAAGGGAAATAATAGCAGTCTCCCTATTGGCATATTTCTAGCAAACTGTATACACATACATAGAAGAATAAAGTAACACAGTGACTTAGAAAGACACTAACCTGTCAGGTAGTCCTGAACAGGCCAAACTCCCAAAGCCAAGATAAAAGAAAAAAAAAGTTGCGAGATTCTACAACAATTAAGAAACATAATGCCCTCAGCCTCTCACTCACCAGTCCTTTGAAAATGTCCTCACTCACCTGAATTTTTAAGTTGATGACACTTTTAGACCTCGAAACTTTGAACCTGCAAATGGAAAATAAGACCATTAAGTATGTGAAAAAACAAAGGAGCCACTACGGCAGAGCGGGAGGAGCAATGCAAGAATAGACCATTAAGTACGTGACTAGGCCATCAAATGCAAAGTCCAGACCTCAAATTATAATTATTCACTAGTGTAGAATAAAAGGAATTGTGAAGCAGCATTGTAGAAATTGTGACTGCAACATAGCTGTGTTATAGACCAAGTAGAGAAATAATATACACACAGACTCACAAGCATAAAGACTCAAAAAAATACTTGTAATATAATTGTGTGCCTAAATGCATGGTGGTGCTCAAAAATCAAAATTGTGAGTTAGCATGTAAGTTTTACTTTAGGTGTAAGGGTGTCATAGTAGTTTTTCTGTGCCTCTGGTGACCTTGCAAGAGCAACTGGAGCACTGATACGATATGAAACTGCACCTATTGGGTACAGATTCAGATCTTCATGTTTTTCTGCAGCGCTCTGTAGAGGTATAAGAGTGTCTAAAAAAGTCAAGCGGATAGACAAATATGTGAACCGTAAATACTGACAGTTTACGGATAAGTAAAAGCAATAATTATTAAGGAGCAGTCTAGTCAGCAGCAGATGCAGGAAATGCTGACAGATTGTCACATTTTATTTATGGAGCTGTAATCCAGAAAAAGATATAATTTCTTTAAACTAAAACATGCTCTAGCGCCAGCTATATTGTAGCCAAAAGAACACACAAAGCTATATGTGTGATGAGCAGGCACAACATGTTTAAACTAGCCCAAATTAAATTGTTAACTAACAAGTCAAATTAACAGCTATATTGTAGCCAAAAGAACACACAAAGCTATTGATTCCCATCTCAGCTGATTCCAGCCAAAACTTGAGCCCATTTTTTATGTACCATCGAAAATTCCATAGCAACTAAAAATCAATAAGCAGCAAGCATATTTAAACTAAAAAGGCATGGTCCTGATTTCAAGTAGAGACAAGACTGGTGCACAAGCAAATCCTCTCGGCTCTGCTCTCTACAAATGAGTCAAACATTTATTTATGTTGATCATGCTCAAATAAATAGAACAAAAATTAACTATAAGACTTGTAAAGGTGCTGGTATAAAAAATTTCTACGGCATGTCTCTGTATATTGCTAGAAGCAAAATTCATGGCATATTGCTAGAAGCAAAATTCATGGAAGCAGCAGGCTAGCAGCGTATGAGCTCAGCAGCAAAATTCACTGAAGTTATGTTGGCCAGTCAAGCAACAAAACCTCATGACAGTAAATTGATCAAAATACATGTAAATCACTGAAGCTGTTACAAGCATATGAGCACATCAGCGACCTGATACTAGTGCAGATGTATATACTGCATGTCATCTATCATCAAGCATTGAACAGCAGTGACAAAATTGACCATCTCCATATGAATGATTCATGCTGTTCCAGATTGGGCTAAACAGGTTGTCCGGCTTGAAGGTTAGATGTATATACCTGCAGCATTGGAAGGCTGAGGCATGGAATCCAGCTGGGAGAAGAAATCAAAACCCATGGCATTGGCGTTGTCCTCCTCTGGATCCACGAATCCTGGGACCCCAAACCCACTCGACGATGACGGATCCATGGCCAGGGTGTGGCAGCGGCACACCGGGAGAAGGAGGCAGGGGCGGATCAGGAGCCGCCAGGCGTCAGGTGCGGGTTCTAGCGTCGAGGTCACCCTCCTCGTCTTGTCCCCTACCAGCAAGCTGTACGAGATGTGGGGCGCGACCTAGTGGCAGCGTGTGGATGTGGTGGCACGGCGAGATGTGGCGCCGTTGGGTGGGGGCTTTGGGGGTGGGCGAGGCGCTGTCGAAGCAGAGGGCCGGGCGGTGCTGTCGCGGGCAGCAGGCGGCGCGGGGAGCTATGAGGGCGTGCGGCACGGGGAGATCTGAGGGCGGGCCGGGAACGGGGGGGATTTGGGGTGGGTGGTGCGGGATTTGGGAGGGAGAGGGCGCGCGGTCGAGTAGGATGAAGAGACCGGCGACGCATTGGAATCGGAGGTGAGGGGGAGAGAGGGGAGCACGGCGAGAGAGGGCGCTTCTCTGAAATTGGGATTCGAGGGAGGGAAGAAACTAGAGACTTTTCGTGTGTGCCATTATAAAAGATCGTAATTTCTTCTGTGTCTCTGAAAAAATTCATCGGTCTTCAGCGCCACTAATTTAATTTTTTCGGGTCCTCCATGCCACTTCCGTGAGTTCAGACTCTAACGGCGTCAAACTACAGGTGTGAAAAGACGAAAATGCCCTTAAGTTCAAATATGTTATTAATTTTTTTCGAGCATCTTAACGACTTCGAATGAAAAAATTCAAAACTAGAAAGTTGTAGATCTCGTCGAGATCTATAATTTTCATATAAAAATTATTTTCATTTAATTCCGCAAAAAAAATATAATGATTTTTCTAAGATATATTAATCATATCAAATCATATTTTTTACGGAATTAAATGAAAATAATTTTATATGAAAATTATAGATCTCGACAACTTTCTAATTTTGAGTTTTTCATTTGAAGTCGTTAAGATGCTCAAAAAATTAATAACATATTTGAACTTAAGGGCATTTTCGCTTTTTTACACCGAGTTTGACGGCATCTGAAAAAAGTGGCATGGAGGACCCGAAAAAGTTAGAGTAGTGGCGCTGAAGACCGCTGAATTTTTCCAGAGACACACGAAGGATTACGATCTTTTATAATGGCACACAGGGAAAAGTCTCAAGAAACTAAGGTTTATCATTGTATAAGTGGGATAGGCTAAAATTTAGATGCGAGATAGATGGTGGTGGGGTGGGCAAGCAGGGTGTGGGGTCCATTTTTTAGTGACAGATAGATCCACAGTGTATCTCTTTTTAGCGATAGATGGATTAATGGTAAATATGAATATCTATAGCGATAGACAATCAATCAGTAAATGGGGATTTAGCATCAGATGGTCTATGAGTTATCTTTAGCGACAGATCATCCATCGATAAATATAATTTTTAGCGTCAGATGTCTGGTGGTGATGCGGTACTGTGGTGTAGTGTTAGTAATCAGTCACATTGTGCGCCGACGATAACGACCTCAAATGCAAAACTCAAAACTATAAATTTGTAGACCCATCGAGGGCTATAACTTTTATATAGAAAATATCTCAATTTGACGTCATATAAGAAAGATATGATTTTTCCAAGACTATAAATGCGTGCACGCAATTAATACGATGCTGAAACTTTATATTATTATTTTTTAAGCATCTTAATGATCTCAAATGCAAAAACTCAAAACTATAAATTTGTAGATCTCACCGAGAGTTATAACTTTCATATAGAAAATATCTCCATTTGATACCATATAAGAAAGATATGATTTTTTTAAGACAACAAGTGCATGTGCTGAAACTTTATATTATTTTTCTTCAGCATCTTAATGATCTTAAATGCAAAAACTCAAAACTACAAATTATAGATCCCATCTAGGGCTACAATTTTCATAGAGAAAGTATCTCCATTTAACACCATGTAAGAACGATATAATTTTTCCAAGACGATAATCACATGTACGTGATTAATATACTGTTAAAACTGTGTTTAATTTTTTTGAGCATCTTAACGACCTCAAATGAAAAAAAACTCAAAACTAAAAAGTTATAGATTTCATCGAGAGCTATAATTTTCATATAAAGATCATCTTCATCCGAGATCGTATAAAAAAAATACATTTTTCTAAGATTACGCCTCGTTGTGCCAGTCTGGATGGCATGTCACTACAGTGCTGCCACGCCAACGGCAGTGGCATGGCAATGATTTCCACGTGAAAATCACTGTCCAACATGACAGATCGTGCCGCACCGATGCATATGGTGCGGCACCGTGTTTTGGCCGCGCCACGGACTTTGGTGCGGCAAAAAGTGTTAGATTTGAAAATAAAAAAGCAACGGTGTTAGATTTGGAATTTGTTTTAGAAAAAGGTTAAAAACATCACGGGCAGAAGAAAAATGAAAAAAAGGGTTTTCAGAATCGATGGGCTCTTTGTCATATTCAGCTGGTATATGAAGATTCAAATAAAATAAGATTCAGCAATGAACAGTAATCCAAGTTGTCAGCACAGAAGTTTGCCATGACAAAAACGTGCACAAAACCGCAAAACGTGCACCGGAATCTGCTGAAATAAACTGCAACGAGATTCAAATATCATCAGAAATTAACAAGCAGCAGCTATCGTCACATGATCTTGCGTTGTGTCATTTGGTCTTTGCTTGCTTCGACAAAACTCTCGTCGAAATTCAGAAACAAGGCTGACACTGCAGAGTGGCATTCCAACTACTGTTTACTTGTGCTCTTTAATTTCCTTAATGATACCGTCAGCAAGGGAATCTGTATCATAGTTCTTGCCATAAAACTTGTGTCAAGGGCCTGAGTATCGAGGGTAGGAGGCCCTCGGCTACGTAGATCGTAGCCTTGGTCCGTCTTCTCCGGTGAGGTTTTGCCCCTCTTCCGAAGGCTTGAGTGCGGTAGGGAGAGGAGAGAAAGTTCACGGTAGAATTCTTGATTGATTCCTCGGCTACAGCCGGATACAAGGCTTAATAGCCTGTTTTGCAACTAATTAAGGAAACTATCTCCTATAATTAAGGATCTCCTCTAATATCTCAACTAATTCTATTTCCTATCTTAGCCACTATTTCCCTTTCCTTCCTCCAGAAGATCGGGCGTGGCCCTGATAGCCGCGCGCTCAGCTGCGCGCCTCTGGTCCCTCGCGCGCCTACGGCGTGTATAGGGGAGGCCCCACATGACAACTTGACAAACTTCATCTCTGGGTTCATCAGGTACCTGAAAAAATGAGGAACCAATCAGTCAGTGTTTTCAGAAAATATTTGTATTTAATCTATCATAATGATAGCACATAGCAGTAACATCAATGAGTTCAAGCAGGATAAAACTACCAGACAGCATGTAAAAGCATGTAATTTACAGTATCCAATATCATAAAAATTTCCTACTAGATACTCACTGGAGCCTCGCAAGATAATATTCAGAATTGGTTAAAAAAAACAATAGCCAAATTAACGGGTTTCTTCATTTTAGTTTGCATGCTGTAGGTATGCCATATCTTAAAATAATAAAATGACTTGAACTAGACCATCCCAATTGCAGAACATTATCAAAATCAAAATTAGCTAATGCCCAAAGCCATTGTGCAAGATGGAGGAGATTAGAAATAGCATACATGACAATTGAGTGATCAACAAGGTAGTCAGAACCCTCCTCCTCTGTCTTCATATAGTAAACTCGGTAAGCACGTGCAACTTGTCTTACTTCATCTGTCGTGCCCGTGAGTCCTATCAGATCTGGATGGAACTCTGTGAATCACAAATAGTTCATCAGCAATGAGCAATCAAAAGAATAAGATACTGCAAAATAGTAATAAGAGATCAAAGGGCTACAATATTGAATGATTACAAGCATTAAGAACTAAGGGACAATTGCAAGCACACACCTTTAACATAGTCCCGAACCTGCTCAACAGTATCTCTTTCAGGATCAACTGTAATGAAAACTGGCACAACATCCAGTTTTGCCTTTTCCTCTGCATATAAGAACATATTATAATGACTGAAAAAATATGCTTAACTTAAACTGTCTACTAGGTCCACTTGGGCGCTTCAGTGGAAATTTTCACCAAGTCCAGTCAAACAAAAATACATAACCTTATATGTACATCTCATTTTGGCTTGCCCATTTACCCAATTATTTGCGTACAATAATATGCCTTCTAGTTTCTAAGTGACAATATAATGCATATTATTGATAGACAATAAGCAGACACAACAGGATCTATGAGGATACTTATATCCAAGGATCAAAAGAATCAAATTGACTTACTAATTTTGTTAATCGCCGCAGCCATTTTCTGGAGTTCATCTGGGCAAATGTCAGGACAGTGTGTAAATCCAAAATAAAACAGAGTCCACTTGCCCATGAAATCCTTTTCAGTAACAGGTTTTCCATCATGATTCAGAAGCTTGAATGGGCCACCAATGGCTGCAGTGCCTACTGATTGCCCAGGCCTCACAGCACTTGTTCTATTCTTCAATTCTGGGTAAGATGGAAGAGAAAAAAAAAATGACAAGATAAACAGCTATCAGAATTCAAGGAGCTAATACCTTCCTACTTCAGATAAATACTTCCAAAAGACACGTGTCCATTTGAAAAAAAAAGTAGGGAAAGGTTTGAAATGTTCACTAAAATAGTAAATGGCGATCTGTTTCTGAACCAGAGGGTAATGATTTTGTCATAGTGCAATGGTGTCAAAACAAAAATACAGTTTACAATATAAGATACAATTACAATTGGCACAAAGTCTTCTGACAATGGTTCCACCATCCCTATAATGGTTTCTGGCTTTTTGCTGATGTCATTAGGAAGCATGGAAAGAGGAACAGACACCTTTATATTGTTTGTTTAACAAGCTTAGTTGTCTGTTCAACTTTTTTATAACTGCTTAAAAGCTATGCATATATATTTACAGAAAAGCTAACAATAGTACGAAAATGCAAGCAGTGGTTACAAATGAAAATGCACACGAATCATTGCTAACCTATTTTTCTCATTAGTGTAGACTGTGGCCCAATTTGTTGTTAAAAGGCAAGCCAGTATGTAAGGCAGGGCAAGCTTAGGCAACTGGCTGAGTTATGGTTCTCCATTTTGCATACAGCAAAGAAGAAAGAATTGATGATTGTCAAGGAATGTATGAAACATAGAGTGGTCCTTAGCTTGCTCAATCATGGAGGTCACAAATGCAGTAAGGTGTCTCCTGCTTTAATGATTTCATTCATTGATAGTAACCATCTTTTTTCAACAAAACTAAAAAGAGAATTTTCAGTCTAAGAGATGTATATGCTCAACAGAGATTTTATGGAAGGGAGTTTCTAGCAAATCACCAATACAACTCCCCCAATAGAGTTGTATATTGGGGTGCACCGATATTGTCTTCTACATTTATTGGGGAGATGCTTTTGCAAATCACTAATACGGTAATTGGGGAATGGGGGAGCTATTGGGAAAGGTCCATCTTTCCCTCTATTTGAGGGGAGTTCGCGCGAAATATTGGTGGTCACCATTAAAAAGGGATGCGAAGGGGGATCTGTTGGAGCAAGAGGGAAAAACTCAACTCACATTTTTTTTAAGGAAAGGGGATCTGCTGGAGATGTTTTTTATATGAAAACGCTGAGATAGACAATGCTAGACATGAAAAGTAGGTTCTTGAAGAATAGATAAGAGCTCTAAAATTCCTAGTTCAGCACTCATAATAAGTGGACATAACAATAAACATGAGACAATGTGTTGATTGTGTGAATAATGCATTCCAGAAGCATCATGTTTTAGTAAGTAGGTATGTTGTATGTAGCCAGGTGCAACATTCATGCAGCCAAATCAGAAGCTATTAACATTGGGAATTAGTGACAGGGAAGCTGATACACTACACATCTACAATTTCAATTTCATTTTACATCTAACAGTTGACCACCAGCATGACACTTGAAGAACCAAGGTTGCATGTCGAAACCACACCCACAGGCCACAGAAACCTTTGTTTCCAGAGCAACATCCCAAGTAGCCATGGCATAACATTTTAGAAGGGTAGCTAGATATTTTGAGTGTACTCAAGCATACGAATTCAGGATTAAACAGTTCAATAGTTATATGAAACAGCATATATGGTAAAGTGGAGATAAACACTAGGTTGAACTACCACTTGAATATAACTTTGGAAACACTTAGTTACTGGACTGAACCCATGCAAACTATCCACCTAAAACACCTCAAGATTTGTTTACTGATTGCCTCTAACATAAACTTTTCGGTTTGGCTAACTGATGTTGATGTTTACTCCACATCCAATATGCCTTGATACAACACGGACATTGAAAGATCTTCCCATGCACCGCTAAATGACAGCAAACAACAACAACTCACCATCGTAATCTACCTTCAATGTGACGCTTCTTTTCTTTGTCGTAGTACACAATTATCCCTCCTCCAGTCATGAGCAGTAGTAGAAAACTGAGCCAAGACACCGGCTGCAAGGAAGTAGCAAGTGCTTCTGAATTAGCACGCATAGATAAATGGCCTAGAAACAAGGACTGTCCTGTTTCATTGGGCTCTAGATCACTACTGATTGGTGCCATATGAACCATTTCAAAGCAATCGCTTCTATTTGTCCTGAATAAGGGGGATCCAATAGCTTTGGGTTACTGCAATCCATGACTTACCCCTCCGCGGACGGCTTTTTCAAGGCGTCCGCTTGCTCAATTTCCAGATCGACCATCATCCCTCCCTCGCCGCAAGCCTTGCCTTGCCGCGGCCGGCCAGGGGCTTCGACTTCGACCATCCTGTCGGCATGTCAGAGAAGAAGCGCGCCCGCCCGAGAACCAGCTCCGAACATCTCAGCGCCACTCCCACAAGGGCGAAGCGGAGATCCATCGCTCGACGCACGCCAAGGACGGGGAGAGCCGCCGAGTACTGAGGCGAGAGCGACCACGAGGAGGAGGAGGCTGGGAGAGAGCGCTCGCGAGAGGAGCGCGCGGAGATGGGACGCGCGGCCTCTCATCGCCTCCTCAGTCGTCACTCGCGCCTCGTCGCCGGAGTGGGAATAGTGGGGTGCTCGTCTCCGCAAGCTCGTGACCGCGGCTGCGGCGGCGCCGTGGGTTTTGAGGGGCTTTTGTACCGAGTGGTTTCGCTGATCTGCTTTGCTTCCGGTACGTTTCGATAATCGCAAGCAGCACAGGGTTTAAAGGCGTTAGTTACGTGATTTTTTTATAGTCGCTGTCCGGTGGTCCTGTCCCACTCTCTCCGTGTCGGGTGAGAGGATCCCCGCCTCGGCCCAAGGTTGGACCCGTGAGGAGGAGGGGCAGTCTCGTCAGTGATAGCGAGAGGGGTCTCAATGGCGGGACACGTGGCACCAGGAAGACGGGGCAGGTGTCATGATCTGGAAGAGAGGTAAATGATGTCAACGGCTTGGATCTCAGAGCTCTGGTGGATGAGGAAGGTGAAGTAGAGGATCTCTTCGGCCAGCTCTGGTTCATCCCCTCCGCCTCCCCTTCCCCGTGCGGTCGGGCTAGGGTTTGTAAGGGGGAAAACCTAGTCTGGATTCGAAAGAATCTTTGGGACTCCAAGCATTTTGAGCCAAGTGATTGTCATCCGGTTGGAGTAGGTGACCTTTGGGTGTCTCCTCCGAAGAAGTTTTGCTTTGCCTCAGATATTTGGGGGAAGGGCGTGAAGGATTCGTTTGTGTCGAAGCTGAAGCTCGGGATGGCTGGCCGTGGTAGAGGTGGAAGAGGTCCACAGAGGCCGAGGAATCCTGAGGAAGAGTGGGGCTAGGGTGAGGGAGGATGGGTCTAAAATCCACCTCCTTACTACCAGCTGCCGATGGGGCCTCCACCGTCGGGACCGTCGATGGGACCTCCGGCGGGGCCGTTTCCTCCACCACCATCAGGTCCGTTCGGGTTCTTCCCAAATCAACTTCACAAGCAACAATACTATAATCAGGGGCAACAATCTAGACAGAATCAGTTCAATGCTGTTGGGCAGAGAGGTCAGGGTCCTCGTTCTGGTAATAGAGGTGTTGCAGGTAATTGGGGGTTGAGTTCAGCAAGCCAGCAACACGGTTGTCAGCAACCTCAACAGCCACAGCCACAACAGCAACCCAAAGCTTTGGAACAACAAAAAATTACTCAAGAACAGAATACATCTGCTCATCAAGTGGTGGATCAAATTGTTGGTCAGGTGATAGAAGGTGAAAAGTCTAGAAATAATAGGGCGTCTCAAGTGGTATGTTACAATTGTGGTAAACTAGGACACTTTGTCTCTACTTATTCCAAACATGTAGGACACGTGGACGCCTAAGAGGGGGGGGGTGAATTAGGCAACTTAAAAAACTAACTCTAAACTATGGCCTCTTTTTCTACCTCTAGCAAAACCTATGCAAAAGATAATCTATCTAGATGATCAACTACGGTTTTGCTAGTGTATTGCTATCTCTACCGCAAATGATAATAACATGATCAATGTAAATGCGGAAGCTTAAAGAGCAAGGTAGAGATATGCAAACTCTCGTTGACGACTCCGGTATTTTTACCGAGGTATCGAGAAGCGCGCAAGCTTCCCCCTAGTCCTCGTTGGAGCCCCTCGTAAGGAATCCCTCGCAAGGGCCAAGCTCCTGGTCGGGTAACTCCGTGGATAGCCTCGGGCCTTCCCCACGCGCAAGTGGGTCTCCGATGTGCCTTCCGGCAAGCCTCTCCCGGATGCTCCCCGCCGTCTTCACTATCAAGCTTTCGGCCGAAACGCCGCGGGCCTTGTTCCCTCCGGTACACGGTGGCGGCCACACCACAAACGCGGTTGGTGTGATCTCGCAAGACTTCAAGCCCCTCCGATGTACAACACTTGTGCTCACAAGCACGGGGTGGCAAGAGGTATGCAAACCTCACTTAAACACTAGGCAAACACCTAGAGCAAGCGCATAAGCGGTGGTCTAATCAACCTAAGCACTTCGCAAAGCACTTATGCTAATCACCTAATAGAGCACTAAGCACTATGCATGTGGAGATCACTCAAATGGTGTATCAACACTCTTGGTATGTTTCCTCAGCTCCACACTACTCAAATGGCCGGTTGGGGGTTGTATTTATAAGCCCCACTGAGAAAGTAGCCGTTGGGGTCGAACTCCCGCAAAACTGCTACTGACCGGACGCTGAAACGTCCTGACCGGACGCGTCCGGTCGTCCCGACCGTTGCAACCGCGAACTACCGATCGGACTCTGCCAGCGTCCGGTCGCCTGCCACCGGACGCGTCCGGTCGCAGTTTCGCGCGCCTGGAACCTCTCTGTACTCGATCGGACGCTGCGTTCCTGCGTCCGGTCGGTTGCCGCCAGCGTCCGGTCCTTGCGTCCGGTCGCCTATCTGCCGAGCCACCGGTCCAGCGTCCGGTCGCGCTTCCAGCGTCCGGTCCAGCGTCCGGTCGCCTCTGCGAGCTCGTTTCTTCGTGATCTTGCGTACGGCTTGGTTCCTATCTTCATGCTTGGACTTTGCTTGATTTCTTGGGTCTTCACTTGTGTTTCTAAAGTCTTGCTTGAGGTGTTGATCATCGGATCATCACGTCGCCTTCGTCCAAGTCACGTCTTGCACCCTATTGGACTACAAAACAAACACTTGCAAATTCATTAGTCCAATTTGGTTGTGTTGGTCATCAAACACCAAAATCCAAAGTAAATGGGTCAAGGGTCCATTTTCCTTACAATCTCCCCCTTTTTGGTGATTGATGACAACACGACCAAAGCAAGCAAATGATAAAAACTTTAAATTTAAAAATTATCTACTTGCTAGGATGCAATGCAAAGGGCAAAGTTATATGATACTAATTGATAGATACCAATTAAAACTTTACTCAAAAAGCATGTCTTGCCCTTGCAAATGTCCCCATGTGATATTATGGATTAAAGCCTATCTTAAAAAAAATTCTCCCATTACATAGACTAATCCATAATTCACTTTCCTCCCTTTCTCGGACCATTACCACTTGTAGACATCAACTTGATGCTTGCCTTTGGTCCTTCAAATTCTCCCCCTTTGGCATCAAACACTAAAAAGGAAGACATTAGTAGCACAAGGGAGGGTCAAATTTCATGATCCTTTGTGTATAGAGTGAAATGGATCACAAAATTTGACTCTCGCATTATATAGACTAAGCTCCCCCTAAATATATGCATACATATGGTAGAAAGCAAATTATATGCATAATTAGCAATTTGTTGCACAAGAGAGTTTAATCTATATAATGCATGGAGAAAGCATATAAATATGAAATGAAATCAACATGATGATGCTAATTGAAGAACGATGCTTCTCTTCGGGGACTCCATTTTCCTTGCAATGAGACTACTACACACATGATAAACTTGAAAAAGGTGTTAGTCTCAAAGCGTCCATCTTGTAGATGATCCTCCCCCTTTTTGTGCATGGAGACATGGAATACTTGTAGTACTTATGCACAATTGATTTTGGAGTCAAAATTCCACTTGAAAGATGATATTTGGGAGTAAATTATCTACAATTTGGACTTTGGCACATATTAGATAAACAATAGTAAGACAAGCTATGTGCCGTGCTCCTAAGCAGTTTTAAACCATGTAGGTTTGCTCCAATAGTTAAAAATGAAACCGAGCAATCCTACCATAAGATATACCTATTGTATGCATGGTAAATGATTTAAACATGTAAATGCAAACATAGGCATGAAGAGTAACTAGATGCTTAAAAGGTACCAATTATAGGAAAATTTTAAATCTAATATCAATTGAAGTAAATTGAATCTAGTTACCTAACATGGGAAGGGGGAATTTGGGTCCATAGTATTCACTAACCCACTTGGCAATGATTTTGTCCATCATGATGCACCCCATGAAATGCACCCATACTTTGCCAAGTCTCCAAATTCCCCGATGGTCCAACGGACTTCTCACTTCCCTTTCAAGATCCAAACCTTCTTGGTGCTCTTCATGTTTGAAATGATTTCCTTTGGCACCCAAAAGCGTTTGACCCCTTTGTTTGCTTGCTTGTTCACCTTGATGGCCACCACCTTGTCATTTTTCTTCTTCTTCAAGAGATAAGGTGTGGAGGTCTTCTTGTCCACCTTGTTGGTGTAGGTGTTGGAGAGCTTGCTTGTTTGCTTTTTCTCCTTCTTCTTTGCTCCTCCCCCATTCTTCACCTTGCACTCATAGGACTTGTGGCCTTCTTTGTGGTACACGTAGCAAACCACGGTTTGTCCTTCATCAAGCTTCTTCACTCCCTTGACGGTGTTATCTTGATGAAGTTGGGTTTGCTTCGCCTTGCCTTTCATTTGAGTCAAGTCCTTGGTGAGGCGAGCTACTTCTTGCTTGAGTTGCTCATTCTCTTTTGCAACCTCTTGTGTGCATGTATCTACAATCACTTTCTTAACACAAACTTGGTTGCACAAAGGTGAGTCTAAACATAAATCATTGCAAGAGGTAGATGCAGCCTTTTTAATTATGTCATTTCTTTTAGATGCCTTGGTGGGGGTATTTTTTACGGCCTCAAGATTAGCAACTTGATTTGTTAGCTCATCACAATGTTTGCACATGATTTCTATTTTAGCAAGCAAACTTTGATAATCATTTTGTGAGCTAGCTAACTTTTCTTTTAATTTTTCATTTTTCTTTTCAAGTTGCTTATCATTAATTGTGCATGCACTTATTGTTGCACTAGCCTCAAGTTGCTCAATTTTAATAGATAGTTCAACATTGAGATTTGCAAAGTTTTCATATTGTTCAAGCAAATTCTTGTATGCTTCTTGTGAACTACCTAGCTCTTCTTTTA